ACAGAAGAGAAACCTGGCCCGTGACTGAGAAAATAAGTTTATTTCGTTTGGGGGTGCAGGCAGGTCTCCAGTCTCAGAACTTCTGGAACTGCTTCTTGGTGCCTGCAGCCTTGGTGACCTTGAGCACGTTGAAGCGCACGGTCTTGCTCAGGGGCCGGCACTCACCCACTGTGACGATGTCGCCGATCTGGACGTCTCTGTGGGCAGGGGCAGCATCAGTGGTGTGCTGGGGGAGGAGGGGCACTGGAGGCTGCCCCAAGCAGCCCCCAGGGGAGCGACTCCTACGCGGTCACCAGGCCAAGGCACCAACCAAGCTCCAAGGTCCAGTTCCGGCTGTGCCCTTGTTGGTAAGCGCCAGCTCTGTGCAAGGCACTGGGTTTGGTGTGGGATAGCAGACGCCCTGACCCTTCCAGGGACCTCTTCGGGGCAGATCTCTAAGTGCCACCTCCAGTTTACAGAGAACTGGAGGCTCCCAAGGATCTCTCACACCAGCCTCCTGTCCCCCAGTTACCCAGGGTGTCCCTGTAAGTACCCATGTCAGGTCCCAAGTCACTAGGACTTGATGCAGCCGGCCCCCTCCCCTGTGGCTGAACGGGAGGCTGGCCCGGGCTGCCAGGACCCACTGTGCTCACCTGAAGCAGGGAGACAGGTGCACTGACATGTTCTTGTGGCGCTTCTCGAAGCGGTTGTATTTTCGGATGTAGTGGAGGTAGTCTCGGCGGATGACTATGGTCCTCTGCATCTTCATCTTGGTCACAACACCTTGTGGGAGGGGACAGATCGTAGGTCAGGCTCCCTGGAAAAGGGAGCCACCAGCAGCCCAGGGCACGCAGGGAGCTGCTGAGCGGGGTTCTCCAGAAACTGCGTTTCTGGCATCAGTTCTGCCAAGTGGCTTTCTCAGCAGTGCCTGTGGCAGGCATCGGAAGACCATCGTGAAAACAGACATCACCTGCCAGGGCTCCAGGAAGCAGGAGTCTTAAGTGTCCCTAGCCCCAGAAAGCAGAACCCAGGCCCCCAGGCAGCCCCACTTACCAGACAAGATGCGCCCTCGGATGGAGACATTACCAGTAAAGGGGCATTTCTTGTCAATGTAGGTGCCCTCAATGGCCTGAAAGGAAAAGAAGAGAAATAAGGCTCAAACAGGTAGTTCCTGAAAAGAGGGGGGGGTGTGCCCCAGAGAAAAACTACAATTCCCAGCAGCCCTTGGAGCAGACACTCTGATGTGGGCAGGGCTACAAGAGCTTGGACACACGTGCGGAGGCAAGAGTCTCCTTTTTTCTTCTGAGGATCCCCGTACCTCCTTGGGAGTCTTGAAGCCCAGACCGATGTTCTTGTAGTATCGCGGTAGCTTCTCTTTGCCAGTTTCTCCAAGCAGGACCCTCTTCTTATTTTGAAAGATGGTGGGCTGCTTTTGGTAGGCACGCTCCGTCTGCAGGGACGAGGAAACTGGTGAGCCTGGAGCAGGCCGCCGCCGGGTTTGGAAAGCTTCCCAGAAACCCCCAGGTCCCATCCTCTGCAACGCTGGCCTCCGAGACCCACTACCCCAGAAATACCTCCCAAAACGCTCTTACCTCCAATTTACCCCCAATTCAATTCACCTCCAATTCAAATTCAATGCTAAGTCTCAGGTTATTTCAATACTTATGCTCTAAAACACTTCCCGTCGCCTGGACAGTTCACTCCTTACAGCTCAGAGACACAGAATCATCGCTCAAACACCCCAGACATCTTTCAGCAAGGATTATTCCCCAAAACACAAACACATCCACTCAGGATTCACTTTTTACATAATATATACGATTTCCGAGTGCGGAGACTCCAGGATTTAAGAGGCACTAATCTAGGTAACGCAGACACGCGCCGTCTGCCCGAATTCACCCCCGGGAAATCGAGGGCGCCTGAAATTAACCCCCAAACTGGGGCGCGGGGTCCCGTTCTCCAAGACACGCCCCCGAAGCCTGGAAAAGGCCCGGTCGTCACGGTGCGGGGCCTCTGCTTATACCTGAATGTCCGCCATCTTCGCGGCCGCCTAAAAAAAAGGAAGCCGCGGTAACGTCCGGGTTTCCTTATCGACTGCGCAGGGGCTAGAGAGGAAGTGACGAAACAGGATAGACGGGACAGCACAATTAGGGGCGGTGCCTTGGGCACAATTCTGACTTACGGAGGGCTCTAACCAAGCACGTGATTGGCAAACCGCACGGACGCCGCCATGATGGCAGAAGACAGAGGGGCGAGAAGCGGTGAATATTGTCTCGCGATAGTTCAGACATCAATGCGCCGGGCATGCTAGTTCACCCTAGAGAGTCGGGTCCAGCATTCAGCCCTCTACGTTATCGCGAGAGTTAGAGGGAGGCGGTCCTGTTTCTACGGGCCGTAACGTCACGTGGGCATTGAGGACCGCGTGGCGGTGTCCGTACAGATTTCAAACAGGGTGCGGTAGCTGCCATCTTTCTGCGGGGTGCGAGACTGTGAAATCTTAGGGCCCCTCGCCGCGTCGCCGCCGTCTTTGTGAGGGGCGGGGCCTGCCCAGGAGCTTTTTGAATGAAGTTCAGTGAAAGTTGTTTTATCTGTTCCATTTTATCCCCAGACAATGGAGTAGTGGAAACAAAAAACAAGCAAAAAACCCTCTGCTGGTTCTCAGTCTGTAACCGCGGGGCGAAATAGAACTTTCAGCTATAATGTAAATGTCTGCTCCTATTCTGAGCAACACCGTAGCCGCTGAGAACCTGTATTTTTAACTTTAGTTTTATTAGATTTAAAATTTCGTAACCTCACGGAGCTAACGTCTACCGCGTCGGGTAGTGCAGAGTATATGAAATATAAATGCTACAAACTAACTAAGTTATTTGAAAGTTTAATTAACGTTCTTCTACACTTCATAGCTTTGTGAATTTTGAGTAATACATTTTTTATTGTGGTGTTTCCGTTTTTGTGGGGAGGATAGCATTAACGGGGCTTTTCACGTCTTTTTAAAGAACCTTCTGTACTAGCTCTGTATGGATATTTTTGAAGAACAAAGTAATTTCTGGAATTTTTGAACGACTTGGAAAGGATTTATGATATTAGATTTTTTTTTTAAGTCGGGACCACAGTTGTCTACAATGTATGCCAACCTATGAGAAAAAAAGAAAGCCTGGAAGAAAACATGTACCTCAGTGGTTCATATATCCAGGAGGGGGGATTAGGTGTGATTTCCTCTCTGGGTTTTAAAATGCTCGATATTTTGCAAATTGTTCAGAGCAACTGATAAGATTTCCATGATAAGGGAAAAAAATACTGCTTCAGTTTGAAAGGGTGGGGCAATTTAGAGCTGTTTAGGTTCTTCGCTTGTTAATCACAGCTCATAGTAGTAAAAGTCTACATTTTCATCAAAGACATTTCTCCTCAGGCCTCTATGGCTCTCCCTTTCCTTCCTGTAGTACACTTTTTTGTTTCATTTGTATTCCATTTTATTTATTTAATGGATGGATTTTTTTTGGAACTGCATTGTCAATAGCCTTGGTGTCCAATAACAAACTTCAGCCAACTGTGGTTATTACCTTTTTTATTTTTTAGATTTTATTTATTTTCAGAGAGAGAGGGAGGGAGGGAGGAAGAGGGAGAGAAACAACAATGTGCAAGAGATACTTGGATCGATTGCTTCTTGCACGACCTGGCTTGTAACCCAGGCATGTGCCCTGACTGGGAATCAAACTGGTGACCTTTTGCTTCGCAGGTCCACACTCAGTCCACTGAGCCACACCAGCCAGGGCATCATCTTTCTTAATGGTGTCTGTCTTTCAAGGTTTTGTTCTTATAAAGCCAGATTTATCTTTTTTATATCTATGAAGTTTATTTTTTTATTTAATTGTTGTTCAAGTAGTTTTCTGTCTTTTACTTCCTTCCCAGCCCCCGATCCCAGATTTATCTTTTTAACGGATCATGCTTTCGTTGGGATTCTTGTGTGCGCTGTTTTAACACACTGTTTTGACAAATTTCAGAATTCATCCGTATGTCTTTAGTTTCAGGAGCCCCAGGAAGGGTGGGAGTGCAGTACCAGGATGAGGAAACCTCAGCCATCGGCATCTTGGACATTTTGGAAAGGTTAAGCATGATAGAATGGCATGGTGTGGAGGTTATAATTTGCCTGTGAACTACCTCAATTTGCTCCCTGGGGTCTAAGATCAGGCACTTGAATATTGAACTGAGTCAGAAAAGTATTTGTAAATATTGCATGCCAATCCCCAGGGCACTGTGAATCCAGCTTCTTTTCTGGGACGGATGTGCCTACCTCTTCCAAAGCAGAGGGCTATGCGGAATTCTGGGTCTTGCACCTATTAGGTGACTGCATCTAACCTCATCAGTGATGTGAGGACAGGCTCTGGTAGATGTGACCAAGGGGACCTGAAGGGATCGCTGCCTGCTGATATTTACCCTTTCTGGGACTCACGCAGGCAGATCTGTCATGTCTGGCTTTGTCTGCGATAAACTATGCGGTTTCATATCCCACCACTAGTGCCTAACCGCCACTTGCAAAACGTTTGCCTTTCTTTTAAACCCTCACCTGAGGGTATGTTCATTATCTCAGAGGGGAGAAACATTATCAGTTGCCTCCTGTGGGTGCTCCAGGGATCAAGCTGCAAAACTTCTGGTGTATTGGAAGACCTGCTGGCGGGTTGGAGCCCCATCCCTTTACACAAAACACAGCCCCCTGGTGTGGCAGAGTAAACAGACCCTCATGGGAGTGGGAATGGCTTAGACGACTGGCAACTGCATACTTTGCAGCTGCCATTAGGACAGCTATGTCAAGTGGGTGACACCAGCCACCACAGGCCACAGTGGCCATTGAGGAACACACAGCCTTCTCAAGGAAACTGTGGGCAGGTAAATTTCTCCCAAGGTTCACTCCCCCACCCATTCAACCGCTCACCCAGACAGGCTCCAGCTAGATGGTTTGATTAAGCGCCCTTTTGTTGCCAAGGGCCTACCTCCACTGCAGACACACACCGAAAGACACCAGATTTCTTTAAAAATAATTTATTCACGTGTGATCACAAGGTACAGGAGCGTGCAAGGGCGACGCCTGTGACTCTGAGGCTGCGCATCTCTAAGTGCCCTCGGCCAACACCGAGTTCGTCCAGTTCCCGTGCGCGCTCACACCCTACCGGCTGCAGGGCCTGGGGTCTGACCATGTGGGGAGTTCTGGAGTTTTCCAGCTCATCTTTAACTACTGAGAGGGAACTAGCTGTTCCAAGGGTTGGTTTCCCAGAACTCCTGTGAATGAGTAGGTCACAGGCAAACTATGCTGCACAGCTTTTAGAGGCACATCTGCTTTTTAAAGGCGTTTCTTAAACAGCAGTGACTATGGCCCCTTCTGTGCTCCCAGCCTTCTAAGGCCCAGGGTGCCCCAGGCCCCAGAACAGCCCCTGGGGGTCCCCCACATCCTAGGGCGGCGATGGAGGAAGGGCAGGCCAGGCCAAGCATGAGGAATCAACAGTCAATTTTATTGGGCTCAGACTAGGAGTCCGTGGGTCTTGAGGACCTCTGTGTATGTGTCAATTTTCTTCTCCAAGTTCTTTTCGGCCTGTTTCCGTAGCCTCTGTGGGGTTAGAAGGACAGATCCTGGTAAGCGGCCCTGCCGGGGGTCCCCATTGTCCCAGGGACACAGACCCATTGCCACCTCCAGGCTGGGCCTTAAGCCGAGCCCTCTGGGGGCAAGTAAGACCACTGCCCAGGGGTGTGGTGGCCCTGCACCCCCAGCCTGCCCTCACCATGAGCTGCTTCTTCTTCCGGTAATGGATCTTGGCCTTCTCCTTCCTCTTCTCCTCCAGAGTGGCTGTCACTGCCTGGTACTTCCAGCCGACCTCATGGGCCAGGCGCCCCAGGTAGGCAAACTGGGGGTGGAGGGGGAGAAATGAAGTTGTACAGAACTGAGTGCCTGGGTTGGGGAAAGGAGTTGACGCCCTCCTCTCAAAGAATCCTGGAAATTTAACAACCCCATTTTCCTCACTGAGCTCAAATCAGAAGACACCCCCGCAAGGGGCTCTGTGTTTCTCCTGGCATCAGCCAAGCCATTGGCATTATCGGCAGCGCCCACAGTGGCATCCGCAGACCATCGTGAGAAAAAGCCATCATCTGCCAGTCTTGGGGACTTCAACTTCACCCCCCAGTGGGACCCCCATGTTAGCCCGCTCACTGTAACCTGGACTCACCTTCCGTGTGGGCTTCAGGCGCACCACCTTGAGGGCCGCAGGGACCACCATTCGCTTTTTCTGTTAGAGAAGAAGAGGGGCTTAGGGACCTGGAGTGAGGGGCAGACAGGGGAGAAGGCTGGCTGGGGCGGGCGTCTCAGCCAAGGCTGTTCTCACGAGGGTCAAACAATGTAGGTAACCATGGATCATCACGGACCCCGTCAGGCTCAGGGTGCAGCAGAGGGGTTTGGTCCAGCCTACCTTGTCATAGGGTGGCGGGATCCCATCGAACACCTTGAGGCGGTCCAAGGCAGCCTGGCCTCGCTTGGTCTTGTGGGGCAGCATGCCTGTGTGGAGAGGGGCAGCGACCTCACTCGGAGGGGCTCAGGAAGAACCCCACAAAGACAGACAGACAGGTGGCCTCAGATGGTAGTGCATGTGGAGTCATCTCACGGTTGGGAAACTCGAACTTGAGTGGGAGAAGTCCTCATCACTGGCCACCCACTACCTCCACCCGCAGTCCCCAGGCCCAGCTTACCTCGCACGGTACGCCAAAAGATGCGGCTGGGGGCTCGAAAGTGGTAAGGGCCACGCGATGGGTTGGTGTTCATCCGCTTACGGAGGAAGGCCAGGTACTTCACTGAGGAGAGGGGCGAGCATGAGGCTTTGGAGCCTTTGGGTAAACACTAGCCTCTTCCGACACACGGCACACTCCCAGGGCCTACTCCAAGACGCAAGGCAGCACCTCCACACATCTGTCTGAGCCCCTCACAGGTCAACCCTCTGGCCCAGCTCCCATGCCCCAACTTACACTTGTTTCTGTAGAAGTTGCCAGAAATGTTGATGCCCTCACAGCGCACCACCACCACCTTCCGGCCTAGAGGGGGAGGAAGAAAGTGAGGCAGTCTGGGCGGCACAGCACAGGAAGCCCCCCAAGGGCTCTTCCTACACCTGACTGCCGCCCGCCCACCCACCCAGCTGCTGCCGAGGAAGGGGAAGGGCAAGGAGCTGCCCACAATGCCAAGGGCCCAGCTGGGCAGCTTCTTGCCCCGGGCCACAGAGCAGTAACTAGAAGAGCTGGGTTCACGCTTAAATCAACTACTAGCCCAACAGAAAGAACAAAATTGACCCTAGCCCCCAACCCCAGGTGAGGGAGTGGCTGGCAGGTCTCAGAGCGGTGCATGGGGTTGATCTCATGGCCTTGAGACTCAAACGAAAGATGGTGATTGTTGCTCATCACTGACCTCCGATTGGAGCTCCCGTCTGGGAAGCTGTGGGCAGATGGCAGACTTACCCAGCAGCACCTGCTTGGCCACGATGGCCGCTAGGCGGCCCAGGAGATGACCTCGGCCATCGAGCACCAGGACCTGTCAAAGACAAGAGGACTCAGCGTCCCCCAGGGCTTTCCAATCCCCCACCCCAGGCAACCATGGCTTTCTAATCCTTTGTTTCACCTTATTCCCCAGGGAATAAGGTGAAATTCCTCCTCTAGCCAGGTACCAAACCTCGGAACTAGGACCCAAGGCTCACTTTACAGACGAGGCCAAAAAAGCAAATGGTTGACTCCTGATTTCAATGAACGGGGTAAGGGCTCCTCTCACATCTCGGCTGCGTGAAGGGCAGAATTTTTATGCCCAGATTATAGCTTCTTCATCAAGAGTCAAGTCCCCACTCTTATCGAGTGCTGGTTATATATGCTGTGACTGTTGGGAGGCAGAAAGGTACAGCGTCTAAAGCCAGACTTCCTGACAATGGGACTTGGGGCAAAGCTCTGCAGTTCTCCATGCTTCCAACTTCCTCTCCTGGAAGATGAGGATAACAGTATCTGCCTCAGAAACGTTGTTATCGTCTTAAGTTACAGGACATACAATCCACACTGTGCCAGGCACAGTTACTGTGGGGACATGGTCCGATAACCCTACCACTTGGCTTTCCTTCCTCAACAGCACCCCCACTGCATGAGGTCCACAAAGACCCCTGCCTCCGTCCTGGAGTCTTCCCTCAAATAAACTGATGGTGCCTTCCTTAAAGGCCAACTGTTTAAGGACAAAGGATGTCCCTGGGCTGTGGAGCCTTTTGTCAGTCTTGTACGCCCAGGAGCGACAGAACTTTAAAGCATCCATCAAACCCCAGGCAAAGAATAATTTGTTCCCAAATGCTGCATAGGCAGGAGCTCTTTCGACCCACTGCTAATTATTTCGTACCCAAACTCCCAGAGAAGCAGGAGAAGCCTGATTACTACTCCAGGAGAGCAGAACAAAGCTGCTTTGGGCAGGGTGAGAATACCCTCCATTTTGGCCAATCCTTGGCTTCCACGTGCTTCCCTGTCGCTGGAATATTGGGTCCAATTCAGCCAAGGGCCAGCCCAAACCAAAGCAGACAAGGCCTAGTTTTTAAAATTGCCCTTCCTGGACTGAGAGTCCGCATCGTCGCTTCGCGGGGAAGAACCAAGCCGCCTTTACCCAGCCTTGGGCACAAAGTCACAATTGTCATCTCTTATTTACACGTTACCCAAATTTCTCAACCCTCGGCCTCTTCCTTTTGCTCAACTACCGAGCTGAAGTCCCACTACACACGTAGGAAGGGAAAATGGGGCCAGCCCCGTTCCAGCTTCAAACCCATCCAGTCCCGCGCCACGCTGGCCCGCGCAGAACCCCACCTGCCCCTCCGCCATCTTCGGCAGCCGCCTGGGAAAGGAGGAAATCTTGGCGCAGGGTTTCTTATCCCTTGTAACAGGGGCGGAGGACGGGACGTCACTTGAACCACGTGAACCGCATTCTGTCACCTCATTGGCCAAAGTGTCGTGCGTGTGCGTATCTAGGTCCCACTGGAAGGCGGGTCGTCTTCCGATTGTCCAATCCAGGAATCGTTCCCCCACGGTCCTCGGCCGCCATGATTGTGCGGGGCGAGAGGTCACGTGGGTTGGGAGGGGGCTCTGCTGCGGCTGGGGTTGTCCGGCCTCGGCCGCCATATTTTGGAGGGACTGTTAATCTCCCTCCTGCAGAATGCGCGACTCGGTGGGGAAGCGCCTAAACCCCCTCAAGCGACAGCAGGCTTTCAGGCACGTGGTGGCCCGCCGGCCGTGTCAGGTGCCTCCTACGGGGTCCCGCAGTGCTACCCGGGTCAGACAGAGCGTGTTTCATCCTGTCCTGAGGCTGTGTCCCATGTGCCCTTCTCCATTGAGAAGGTTCTGGGCTGGTTCCGACTCGGGCCTCAGCGTTGCCCCGTACTTGTCCCTGGGCCCCCAGAGGCCTCGGAAAACAGGTAGTGAACGAAACACTGCATTAACGGGGAACACCAAGACTCCAACCCACCTACAGACAGGCCCGACCAGAACTGGTAGAAAAAGATGATTTATATACAGTTTCCTGGGGACAAGGGCTATGTACAGAGGGCAGCGGGTGGGGCGGGGGCCGGCGCCGGCGGCTGCTGTTCCCTCCATCCTGGGGAGATAGTGGCAGGGGCAGCGCTGCCGAGGAAGGGACCAGTCTCTAGCTGACTCGCTCCGAGTCCCGGCTCTGTGTCCTCTGGCAGGTGACTCCTCTCTCGGGGCCTCAGTGTCCTCTGTAAAATGGGATGATAGATGTGTCTGTCTCCCTGGGCTGTGGGAGGGGGGACCGTGGGCAGAGGAAGAGGGAAGCAGCAAGTTAAGGGCCTTCACAGACTTGGTACCCAGGACAAGTCCAAGCCCAGCCAGCCCTCGAGTTAGGATTCCCTGGTCATAAACGTGGTAGGTCTGAGCTCTCCAGCACAGCCTCGATCGCGGCCGCGAGAGAAAGCCGAGCCCCCTAGCCATGGCCAGGGCACTCGAGCTTTACATTTTATCTGATTTTAACATCCTAGTATGGCTATTAGGAGAGTGGGAAAACAGGTGGCCGGCGACGAGCTGGAAAGAAAACGTCTGGATGTATATTACTTTTCAAGATAAATGTGTCGCCCTGGCCGGGTGTTCAGTTGGTGGGAGTGTAATCCCTCACACCAAAAGGTTTTGGGTTCAGCCTGAGTTGGGGTGCGTACAGGAGGCAACCGACTGATGTTTCCCTCTCACATCGCTGTTCCTCCCTCTCTGAAGTCAGCAAATGTATCCTCAGGTGAGCATTACAAAAAGAAAGAGGAATTGTAATACTGTTCCGAAACAAGTGCCGACCTGAAGAAATCATTAAATTTAGAAGCTGCTTCTCGGTCCAGTTATTGGAAAACTGTGTGTGTTTGAAACCACTTGAGCAGGCGAGTCTGCTTTTGCTAACGTGTATGTCATGAAATCTCCGTGCTGATGTGGCATTTGTGATAAAAACATACTGTCTGCATTGAGATGTGCTACGACGGTAGCAGGCGCACTGGACTCTGAACTTGGTATGGAAAAAGGGTGTAAAATATACCGTGAGTAGTTTTTAAAGACTTTATTTATTTTTTAGAGAGAGAGGAAGGGAGAGAAAGATCAGTGCGTGGTTGCCTCTTGCGTGCCCCCTACCGGGGACCCGGCCAGCAACACAGGTGTGTGCCCAGACTGGGAATGGAACTGACGACCCTCTGATTCCCAGGCTGGCACTCAGTCCACTGAGCCACACCAGCCAGGGCTAATAGTTTTTTTTTTTTAAATATTGACTATGCCCTGGCCAGATGGCTTCAGTTGGTTGGGCATCATCCTGTACACCAAATGTTTGTGGGTTTGATCCCTGGTTGGGGCACACAGGGGAGGCAACCAATTGATGTTTCCCTTTCACATCCATGCTTTATTTCTCTCTCTTTCCGTAAAATCAATAAACATCCTCATCCTTGGAGGGGATTTTAAAAAGTATATTGATTACATGTGGAAATATTTTGGATACAGAGGGCGAAATAAAATATTTAAGGTAACCTGCCTTGGCCAGTGTGGCTCAGCAGACTGAGCACCAACCTGGGGACCAAAGGGTTGCGGGTTCGATCCCAGTCAGGGTACAGGCCTGGGTTGTGGGCCAGGTCCACAGTAGGGGGCGTGTGCGGAGCAACCACGCATTGATGTTTTTCTCCCTATCTTCCTCCCCTTCTCTCTAAAAGTAAATAAATAAAATCTTTTCCCAAAAAAGTACCTGTTTCTTTTAACTTTTTCTTGAATGTGGCTATTAGAAAATTTAAAGTCATGTGTGGCTGGCGTTCTGTTTCCATTGGACCACACTGCTCTGGGGGCTTCGCGTGTGCCCCTTCCCTTCACCTCCGCACAGCTCGCGGTAGACAGACTAGTGTTAGTCCTTCGTACAGGTAAGGAAACCGAGGGAGAAGGAGAAAAGGCCCAGATGCCAGAACCAGGGAGCCCAGAGTCAAACCTCAGCTCTGCTGCTCACGAGCGGTGCGACTTCTGGCAAAATATTTACCTCTCTGTGCCTTGGTTTCAGCCTCAGCGAAATGGGAATAATGATGACACCCGCCTCTCAGTGAAGTGAGTGAATCTGTGGGAAGCCCAGGCACGAGGCCTGTGTGTGTCCCTGAGGCACTGATGTGGAAGCGATTACTGCAAAATGGTTCCGGTTAGATCCCTTTGGACCCTTCCGGAACCCAGGGGAGGCTCCCTTCCTGCCTCCCACCCACCTGCCTCCGTCCCCCACACCCGGCCCCAGGTTCTCTCCTCGGGCACACTTGTCCCATGTCTCGCAGCTGCCCTGGGCAGGCCGTCCTGGCTTCCTTGCCTGGATTTTCTTGTGGCATTTTTCAAACCCTGACTCGTACTGACCCCAGACTGGCCAGAGTCACTGGAACACCCTGAGCGTTTTTCACACCTGGAGGGCTTTGAACAGGTGGTCCCCTCCCCATGCTCCAGGAAGCCACTGTCCCCAGGCTTGCAGGATCCTGCATCCAAATATCTCCCTGGTCCACAGGTCCCCACTGAGTTCACGGACTTTCCCTAATCTCTCTCCTTGCCCAGGTTCCCCACTGTAGACCCAGTCACGGGGCCAGACCCAGGGTGGTCTGTGCCACCCCCCAAGCCTGTCACTCCCCAGCCCTGTCCCTCCTGACCCCTGACTCTGCCCTTCCCTTTCCTCCATCCCCTTGGCTCAGCCCTCGCCCTCTCTCCCTGGGCCCTCACCCAACCTCCTGTTTGGCCTCCAGTCTCTCTCTTCCAGTCTGTCCCCATCATGGCCCCAGAGGGGACTTCCTGCATCCGGAGCTGACCAGCCTCCCAAGCACAAAGTCCAGGGTCCTCACTCTGGGGAAGACTCAGCAATGGGCCAGTGCTCCTGGGGACTGGAGGTGGGGCCACCCACAGCCCCCGGGGGTCAGCCGCCCCTCAGCCCTCACCAGCCCCTGCTGGCTCACCTGCTCCCCAGGGTAGGGTGTCCTCCACCTTCTCCTTCTCCAGTGCAGGCACCAGACAGCGGCCACCAGCAGGAGGGCCAGGGGCAGCAGCAGCAGGAGTAGCAGAGGGGCCTGAGCAGCTGGCAGGTCTGTGGCCTCCAAGGCCTTGGGACTCCTGGAGGGCAGCAGGGTGGAGGAGTCTGCGGGGTGACCGAGGAGAAGGGTCAGGCCGGGCAAAGGCCTCTCTGGTGCCAGCTGTGTGGCCTCTGCTGGGCCACTGGCCTCCCTGTGCCTGTCTCCTGATCCGTGCAGCGGGGGCAATTCTTGTGCCTGAGTCCTAAGGTTGTCACAAAGTAAACGAGTGCATATACAGAAAGAGCTAGGGACAGTGTCTGACACACAGACAGGTCACATATTAATGGACGAATGTTATAATGGAACAAATGTTTCTAGTGCTTCTGGGTGGTTTTGTTTATTCTGCCTCTTGCCCTAATAGTCTGTGAGGTGCATGTGGGTGACAGGCTCTGTCTTTTTTTAAAGTTAGACAATTTTTTTTAAAGATTTTATTTGTTTTTTATTTTTTAGAGAGGAAGGGAGGGAGATAGACAGAGAGAGAGAGAGAAACATCAATGTGCGGTTGCTGGGGGTTATGGCCTGCAACCCAGGCATGTACCCTGGCTGGGAATCGAACCTGGGACACTTTGGTTCCCAGTCCGCGCTCAATCCACTGAGCTACGCCAGCCAGGAAGTTAGACAATTTTTTAAAAAATTTTTGATTTTTAGGGAAAGAGGGAGGGAGCGGGGGGAGAGAGAGAGATCAAACCCACAAGCTTGGCAATGGAGACAACACTTTAGCCAATTGAGCTACCCGGCCAGGTAAGAGAAAAAATTTTTTTTTTGCCCTGACTGGTGTGGCTCAACAGACAGAATGCCAGCCTGCAAACCGAAGGGTCACCGATTCCATTCCCAGTCAGGGCACATGCCTGGGTTTCGGGCCAGGCCCCCAGTAGGGGGCGTGCGAGAGGCAACCACACATTGATGTTTCTCTCCTCTTTCTCCCTTTCTTCCCCTCTCTAAAAATAAATAAAATGTTTTTAAAAAATGAAAGAAAAAAGTAGGAAATACTTAAACAAATGTGGGTGAGAAAGATTGGAAATGCGGGAAGAAATGGAGAAAAATCTACTTGGGATGAGAGTTTTTAAAAAATATCCCTCTCAGAACCTGACAGATCTAGGGGACACACTTGACAAGGACAGAAAGACTCCAAATAACACCATGACAAGGTGGAGAGAATATAAAAACCTCGAATAACTGTCCCTGTTCCCAGGCCCAATTATAACAGGGGAGTCCGGCAGGACACACAGCAATCTCCCTCTCAGTTTAGGAGGGCCACCCTGAGTTCAGGGCTGGCTCCTAAAGGCACAAGAGGGCAGCCCTGACTGGTGTGGCTCAGTAGATTGAGCACTGGGCTGCGAACCAAAGGGTTGCTGGTTCAATTCCCAGTCAGGGCTAGGGGGCTGTGTGAGAGGCAACCACACATTGATGTTTCTCTCCCTCTCTCCTTCCCTTCCTCTCTCTCTCTCTAAAATAAATACGGCATTTTTCGGACTATAAGATGCATTCCCCCCAAATTTGGGGGGGAAGGGGTGTGTCTTATAGTCCGAATGTAGTGTACCTGGCTCGCTGTGGGCGGGGGGTGGCAGCCTATGTTATTTATGTTATTAAATATTTTAACCACATTTTTTGCTTCAAAGTTTTTTTTCCTATTTTCCTCTCAAACCTAGGTGCGTCTTATGGTCCAGTGTGTCTTACAGTCCGAAATAATCAGTTAATAAAATATTTTTTAAAAAGTCATGAGGGGACAATAAAAAAACTTGAATAAGAGTGAATTTACCTTTTTTCTCTTTAAGTTTTAAAAAATGGCTACTAGGAAGTTTACACATAAACATGCCACTCTGCATAGGCTGTGTGTCTGCAGCCTGGGGCTGCTTTAGAGACACAGGCAGGGATCCCTGGCCCTTCTCAGAGATGGGTAAACTGAGGCCCAGAAAGGGACACGAACTTGGGGGAACATGCCCCCAGCCCTGCAGCCCACAGGAGTGGAGTGGGGGGGAGGCAGGGGGTAGGGGCAGTGTCTGAGACACTCTGTGCAGAGGGGTGCGAGGCTGTGAGGGCGGGAGGGGTGGCTGGGTGGGCTGGGAGCCTTTACCCGGCTGACACCTCAGCTCCAGGCAGCCGGAGAAATTCCAGCGGGTGATCCAGGGCTTCAGGGCCACCAGCTGCTCGGAGGTGTCCTGCAGGAGGTGGGAGATGTTGGTCTGGACGTAGCGAAGACAGCTGGGGATGGGCTGGGGGCAGGGGAGGGAGACGTCACCACCGCATCAGTCCTTGCCTCTCCTGAGGCCAAGGGCCTTCCCTGCCCAGCCGCTGGCCTGGGTCTCAGAGGGAGAGTTCAGACCAACCCTTCCCCTTAACAACCAGGTCCCCCTGGTTGCTAAGGGGAAGCATCCTTAGCAACACCCAGCAACAGGATGGGGGAGGCCCCTCCATGGGGTATTTAGATCCCCTCCTTCTGGTTGCTAGGGGAGAGTACCTCTTAGCAACACCCCGCAACAGGGCCTGAGGAATAAACTCAGCATCGGTGGCCTAGACCCAGACACAGAGACACAGAGACACACCAAAGACACAGAGATGTGTCATTGCCCAGCACGCAGCGGCCGGTGAGTGTACGGCCCCAGCTCCACCTCCCTTGAGTTGCTCCGCTCAAAAGCAATCTCCATACAGGAACAAGTATAGAGGACACATGGACAAAAACTAGGGAGGGAGGTGGGGAGGGCTGGGCAAGGATGGGAATAAAAGACAGAAAACTGTACTTGAACAATTAAAATTAAAAGTTAAAAATAAAGGCAATCTCCAGTAAGGCCGAGCCTCGTTTCCCATTTCCTAGAAAGGCATCTCACTGCCCTCACTTGCCCCCCAAGTTCAGGGCTGACCTGGAGGGCACATGAGGTGACAAAGTATATCTCGGTATTGACATCCTCCAGCAGCTGTTGCATCTGGGACCCAGCCACTGTCTTGAGCCGTTCCATGCAGCGCTGGGCCAGGACCAGGCGCCAGAAGGCCCCGCAGAGCTTGTCCTGGAGAGAGACAGCCAGAGCCCTGGGTCCCTCCGGCAGAGGGGCTGGGGGTCTCAGGGGAGAGGGGCGGGGGCCTGGTCCCCTGAGGGACGGAGCCTCTCGAGTCCCTTCTTTACGCCCCTCCCCGCCCCTCCCGTCTGGCACTCACGTCGTGCAGGTTAGCGGCCACAGTGACGGGGTAATCTTCCAGCAGGTAGTCAGACTGCGGGAGAGAACGGGTTCAGGTTGCGCTGAAGGCAGAAGGAAAGAGACCTACGGGGAGCGAGAGACCCAGGGAGCCGCGGACACAGAGAGCAGAGCGGGTGGGAACGCAGATCAGCGACAGAACGGCCAGCTCAGCTGGGCCAGCTGGGAGGGTGGAGCGGGGCGCTCACCAGCTTGCGGATGGTGTCGGCGAAGGTGGAGGAGATGGGGCTGTGGGGGAAGGTGCAGTCTGGGGTCCCGCAGAGGCCCGGGCTCAGCAGCAACAGTAGCAGCAGGGGGGTCTGTGGGGAAGGGTGCCTCTGTTGGCTCCGCTCGGCTCCCCGAGGCTCCCCCAGCCGCCAGCCCCTCTTCCCCTCTCTCCTTTCCCTCAGTTCAGGTTGTCACCTCAATCTGGCTCACAGCTGCCCACCTCTGACCTCTGGCCCTGTCTTTCTCTTCGCTTCTGCCCCACACAGTCCAGTCCTCAGCCCCCTTTGCCCCCGCCCCCACACCTGGCCCTGTGATCTCCCTCCCTGCACCCTCTGCCCTGCATCTTTGCTCTGCCCACCCCTCCGCCCCTCCCTGCTCCTCTCTCCCATTTCTCCTTCCAGCTGGGTCCCCTCTGCCCCATCCATACTCACCTCCCTCTGGTTCTTCTCCCGCCCCAGTCTTCCCCCACCTGCTCATCTCCCCACCTCTGTCTGCCGCTCCAAACCCTGCCCATCTCCCTGCACCCCTGTCCACCTTCCATCTACCCCTGCCCATCTCCCTACACCCCTGTCCACCTTCCCTGCACCCCTGCCCATCTCCCTACACTCCTGTCCACCTTCCCTGCACCCCTGTCCACTTTCCCTGCACCCCTGTCCACTTTCCCCGCACCCCCACCCATCTCCCTCCACCACTATCCACCTTCCCTCCACCTCTCTGCATGTCCCCACCTGTCTGCCCATCAGGACACAGCCCCCTGTCCCCCACCTTGTCCCTCTGGTATACGCACAGCTGGGCTCCAGGCTGGTGCCAACACTGTCATCTCCGCCGGAGGCCCCTCATGCCTGTAGCCAGATCTTGGAAGGGACAGAAGAGCAGGTCTCGGTCCCCCACACCCCAGCCCTTTCCTCGCCCGCCCCTTCACCTCCCCGCCCCTCCCTCGGCGCCTTGATGTGGCTAAGTTTCCGCCTCCTTCCCCGTCGGGTTTCCTGCGAGCGCTCCAGTTACAGTGAGAACTCATCTCCCCTTCTAAGAACCCTGACGTCCGATCCCTGGAACCCTCCCCAGGGACCCGACCCCCTCTCCTCCTCCCTCAGCCCCAGGAGGGGCACCCCCGCCCTGCCCCTGGGGGACCCAGAGCCCATGTCTTCTCCCTCACCAGGCTTGCCCAGGCTGGGTGTGGAAGGGGACAGGCCTGGTGACACCAGGAGAGCGAAAGTGAAAGAAAATTTTGGAGGGGGGTATTGAATTGGGGTGGCTCTGTCTGAAGCCAGGGGCGCCACCTGGTGGTGGCAGGTGGCAGCTCATGCCCCAAAGGGTTCTGGCCCAGGGGGCTGAGTTGAGGGAGGGTGCCTGCTCCCCGGAGGGACAGATTGAAGAGTTGGGTCTGGAACTCAGATCCAGCTCCAACTAGAACCAAGGCACAAGGGGGCAGGGAGGAGGTCTCCCTGAGCCTTCACCTTCGCCTCGAACCTCAACTCTCCCCGCGCCCCATCTTCTGCATTGTGATGCTGGGGCCCACAGCCTTGGTGAGGGCTCAAGACTCTTGGCCTCGCACTGCCCACACAGTTCAGTCTGTCAGCAAATTTCTTGGTTGGTTGTCAAAGTGCATCCAGAGTCCATCCAATCACTTGTCCAATCACTTACCACCACCACCACCATTGCCCGGGGGTCTGCCACTGCCACCTCCCACCCGAATATCACTGTGGCCCCCTCTCCAGGCCTCAGCCCTCACTGCCACCCCCCTTACCCCCACTTCCGTCAGTTCCCGTACAGACCTAAATCAGTGCGCATTCTCCCTCTGCTTCCTGCCACTCAAGTGAAAGGACCAAGTCCTCACTGTGGCCCACACAGACCTCCCGGTTCCCTCCCAGCCTCAGCCCTCAACCTCTGCCTGGTGGCCTGGGACGGCACACTCCTGCCCCAGGGCCTTTGCACTCACCGGCAGACCCCTCAGTCTGAATGCTCTCCCCCCAGACATCCACGTGGCTTCTCCCCGTCTCATTCCCCGGCCTTTGCACAAACACACAGGCAAAGCCTTCCTCTGTTATCCCTTTTTGAGTTGCACCCCCACTTTGCTCTTTCCTGCATCACTTACCACCTGACACACCGTGCACTTCACTTATCGTCTGCCTTGGTGGCGGCCCCCACCGGGACGTCAGCTCCGGGCCGAGGCCGGTGTCTGTTTACCCTGCTGGGCCTCCAGCACCTTCAATTGTACCTGAACCAGAGCACGTGCTCAGTCGATATTTGTTAAATAAGCGTGTGGATCCCGGCCTCTTTCCTTGTTCATTATTGTATGAAAGAGAAGGCATCTGGTGTTCGTCTCAGTTTCCTGGGAGACAACCGCTAAGTCGCTGGGCATTTCCCAGATGAGTGATGGGAGTGTCTTTGTTATTCACAAGTGTCCCCGCTGACCTCACCTGAGCTTTATGTTAACCAGAGGACTGGAGATGGGGGGCGTGGCTGGTCAACCCAGAAAGACTAATCCCAAGGTTAGAGTTGGCGCTTGGAGACACAGGATATCAGCGTAACCTGCCAATCTCCCACCTCCCACCTGGGGGCAGGGGGGTGGGGTGAGGCGGGGGAGGGAGAAGATGGAGGGGTACTGCACATTGATCTCCACCTCCACCTTTGTGGGCACAGGGCTTTGTCCTCTTCTGTGTCCTGTGTGACGCTCGTCATTAGATTTAGTGCCCGTTTGAATGACCCACGATGATCCTCTCTCAAGATCTTCAACTGCATTTTATCTGCCCAGAGTGTTTTTCCAAATAAGGTCACCCATGCAGGTTCCAGGGGTGAGGATGTGGACATACCCTTTGGGGATCACTATGCAACCCACTACAGCCCCCCCAAAGCCATTGCCCACCTCTGGGCCTTTGCCCATGCTGCTCCCTCTGCCTGGGATGCTCTCTGCCACGTGTGTGTGACTTTATGAACTTGAGCAAAACCGGTAACTGCTGGGAAGCCAGATCTCAGAGGCTCCTCGCCACTTTTCTCACCTAATCAGACCCCCGTTGTGCGTCCAGACTCAAGGCCACCACTAGTCATCAGGGCAATGCCAGTCAAGGCCAGTGACAAGTCAGGGCACGCCTGTTAGAACGGCCCCCATGAACATAGCAGACGAGAGACCAGTGCTGGGGAGGATGCGGGGGAGAGAACGGGACCCCTTGTGCCCTGTTAGTGGGACTGTAAGTCGGTGCAGCCACTGTGGAAACAGTGTGGAGGTTTCTGAAAAAATAAAAAGTAGAATCACCTTATGATAGCGATTCCAGCACTGGGTATATCGTAATCTGGCGTGTATTATGGGTGCTGTTTTGCCCAGATTTCTTGGGGAAAATAAGGGTGTGCATTATACATAGGTATAATGATTCCATGCCATAGATATAATAACAGGAGTAATGATCCGTGTGTACAATGTGCATGAAAATATGGGTGCACATTATATGTGGTAAAATACAGCATATCCAGAGGAAATGAAACCAGCATCCTTTTCTCTAAGACTTTATTTACTTATTTCTAGAGCAGGGAAGGGAGGGAGAGAAACACCAATGTGTGGTTGCTTCTCACATACCCACTACCGGGGACCTGGCCCTGCAACCCAGGCATGTGCTGTGACTGGGAATTGAACCAGCAACCCTGTGGTTCATAGGCCAGCACTCAATCTGCTGAGCTACACCAGCCAGGGCTAAAACCAGTCTCTTAAACCTGTACTCCCATGTCCATTGGCAGCCTTATTCACAGGAGCCAAGACGTGGAGACCACCTGTGACCCACCCGCAGGTGAACGGAGAAAGCGCTGAAACGGGAGCTCTGCAGAGTGGCAGCAACGTAGCCAATGAGGTGCGTCTGAAGTGCAATGACTGCTCATTGAGGAGAAAAAAGAAGGGAAGTCATATATATAATAGAGTATTATTCAGCCACAATATGTTGCAAATGAGTCAGCCATCTGCAACAGTCTGGGGGACCTGGAGGACCTTAGGCTGGGGGGCCGGGCCAGAGGAAGACAAACACTGTTCCATCTCACCGGCAGCCTCTGAAGAAGTCCCACTCATCCCACTGAAGAGAAGCTTGGCTGCCGGGGTTGCAGGTGAGGGGAAACGGGGGACAGGAGTGTGGGGCAAAGGATACACACTCCATGGCGAAGATGAGTAAGTACTGGGGATGCGATGCATGTACAGTGTGGTAAGTACAGTTAACAATACTATATTCTGTGTTGCGTGCTTGAAAATTGCTAAGAGAACAGATTTTATGTGTTCTCACCACACACGGGAAGATAATTATGTGAGCTGACCGGTGTGTCAATGAACTTGATGGTGATAACCATTTCATAATGTGTATGCATATGAAATCGTTTTGTGCACCTTAAGAAATTGTGTTGTTGCCCTGGCTGGTGTGGCTCAGTGGATTGAGCCTGTGAACCAAAGGGTTGCTGGTTCGATTCCCAGTCAGGGCACATGCCTGGGTTGTGGGCCAGGTCCCTGGTTGGGGGCCGTGCAAAAGGCAACCACACATTTGATGTTTCTCTCCCTCTCTTTCTTCCCTCCTTTCCCTCCCTCTACATGTTGTACAACAGAACTATATACAGCTTTATCTGTCAGCCATACCCTAATAAAGCTGGGAAAAAAAATCCTCAATGAAGATGGCACCTTCCTTGGGAAGATTCCTTCCACCTCTGTGTCGCACCCTCCCCCCCTCCACAGGTTGGGTAGGGTGCCTTCTCTGGGCTCCCACAATGCCTCGAGCTTCCTCTATTATTATAGTACATAGCACCTTAGCTTTTATCTGTCTTTCAACCAGAGCTGGACCTACCTCTCTTCTGCTCACAGACCCTCTATGGCTCCCTAGTGCCCTTGGGACAGATTCCCAGCCCCTGCTGACACCCTGACTTTAGTTCGGTGAAACCCATTTCAGACTTCTGACTTCCTGAACTGAAAGACAGTACCCTTGTGTGGTGTTACTTAAGCTGCTAACTTTGTGGTAACTTGTTACAGCAGCGACAGGAAATGGATACACCTTTCACCCACAAGAACTTCAGCTCCACGAGGCCAGGTTGTCTTGCTCAAGGCTGTCTCCCCAGCACCTAGAGCTAGAGCCTCCTCACTCACAGTAGGCAGCTCAATAGATACTTGTTGATTGACAGGATGGCTGCTTGGACAAGGAGCACCCACCCTCTGGGCTGACATGATTGGCCCAGAAGTGAAACCTGACCCAGGCTGACCAATCAGATCCCACCTCCTGGGGCTGTGGCGCAAAGCATGGTTAGTGGTCTGGGCTGGTGGTCCATGGACCTGCCCGCAGTTAGCGGAGTCTGGTTAGGATCAGAATTAATAGCAAGGACACTGCGGCAGTCCATGGAATCTGGGGAGTTGTCAAGTCACAGATGGTAATGAGAGCTGTCCAGGGACTTTCCTCCGACTCTTGCATTCCTGTGTGTCTTCTGTCCAAACATCCACCTCCTGGGACCGGTAATTTACTCGTCCCAGGAGAAGGTGCCCTTTTCCTTTCCCAGGAAAGGAGCCTCTTTGGCTCCAAGGTCTAATCAACCACTAATAGCCGGCACTCATTAAGCGCGTCCTGTGTACAGCTCACTGAGTCAACCCAACAGGCAGTAACTACCAGCCCGGTTCTGCAAATAAGGAAAGGGGGGCTCAGAGCGGCCCAGGAGCTTTCCTGAAGTCACACGCCACGAAGATTTGGAGGAAGCAGATAGGCAGATACGGGTCCTGAGAGACTGCGTGGCCCACGGAAAGCACGTGCCCTGGCTCAGTGCTCGCACTCAGGTTCCCAGGAGCCGGGGCGCGCAGATGCGCATCTCGTCCTGTTTTCTTTTCTCGAAGGTGTCTCTGCAGACTTCCAAGAAATTTCCGTTTATCCTAAACTAGTGTAAGGTGTTTTTTTTTCTTTGCATCAAAAAGAATTCCAGCCTTGGCTGGTGTGGCTCTGTAGATTGAGTACCAGCCTGTGCACCAAAGGGTCGCTGGTTCATTTCCCAGTCAGGGCACATCCCCGGGTGCAGGCTGGGTCCCCTAGTTAGGGGCACATGAGAGGTAACCACACATGGATGTCTCTGTTCCTTTCTCCCTCCCTTTCCCTTCGTAGGGAAAATGGAGTCAGTCAGGGTCCCTCACCTGGATGTCCAGGGTAAAAATAACTTAGCAGTGTTCATACAACCTTGAGCGGGGGCCCACAGGTGTAAATGAAGCTGTTATATAGCGGAAGGTCAGTACTGGCACCTTGCTGGCTCTGTGTGCATTTAGTACACGTCCTGAGGGGTCACGCATGGCCTGCAGCCTGCGTGGACCACCCCACCCAGGAGTAAAGGAATGTCAGCTATCTCTATGGCTCCTCGAATTTCCTTCCATCTGCCTGAGTCCCATGTGAATCTGCCCGGCCTTGAACAGCTGCAAGGCACCCTCTCTCTCTAAAAAAAAAAAAAAAATCTAAAAGAAAAAAAAAGAGTAATTCTAGAACAGAATAGCAATATGCTGGAACAGCTCATGGGAGCTTTTAAAATTCAGGAGTTCTGTCAGTCGATCCACTGTCCAATCACCTGGAGCTCAACAGCGGATGTGGTGGGAACATTTACACCGCGGGCATCGGCACAAGTTCCTCACCAGGGCTCTCCATGCCTGAGAGCTACTGTGTTTTCCTTTATACCGGCACACCTCGGATTCAGAGGCAGTGCACAGGCAGAGAGGGACAAAGCACAGAAGCTGCCAGTTGGAGGAGACCAGCAGAAACAACAGGCCCTGCTGGCCTGCCCGGGGCTTCTCAGAGCCCGCCCTCCACCCCCCCAAATGCTGTGCTGGATTGCAGCCCACCCACTAGGCTGAGTCACAGCACTCAAGTGGCTTCAAAGAGACCAAAAGTTACTGCTCGCTCCCTCCCTCAGAAGCACAGCCAGCGTGGGTCAGAGTTTATTTGAGGGCACAGAAACCAGAGGGAGAGGGAAGTTCCAGACATCTGGAGTCTTGCCGGGGTCCAGCTCTTCTCCGTCCGAGATGGAGCGGGTGGCACGCATGCGTCAGTCGCCCATGGGCAGCCACAGGGCCTTGGTCCGGGCCGCGCGCAGTTCGAGCTCAGGGCCTGCCCCCGCAGCCTCCTGCTCCCAGGCCCGGGGGCAGCCCCTGCTCACCCACACCGGCTTCAGGTTTCCCGCGGAGGCCCACTCCGAGAACTGGGAGCCCTGGCGTGCAAACAGTGGGTGGTCAGCTTTTCCCCAGCTTATCTGATGAGCAGCTGCTTCCTTGGCAACGAGGACTATGACTGACCTGGGGCACGACGGCTTGACCTAGACCCTGTTGCTATATTGCTCAGCTGCTGGCAGGCAGACCTTCCAGATGCTGAGGGAAACGGGGTTGACCTTTGTGGCTAGGGGACTTCCTCCCAGTGAGCAGCCCAGGTTCAAACGAGGCCTGAGGTTTTTGTTGACAAGGAGTCCCCATCAGCAGGTTTAGGTAGACTAGGGGCTTCTAACTCTGTTGCTAGGGTGTGGCCCTTGGCAATGGGTTGTCCGATAAGATTAGGTCATTGGGCCAGGCACATCTCAGGCCTTTGTTGCTAAGCACATCTCCTTCTTAGCAACTAGGGCTCCAAGGGGGCAGGCCTTCAGAACCTGGTTGCCAAGGAGTTTGTCCCCCTCAGCAATGGGAGTTTGAAGGGCGCAAAGCCATGTTCCCAGAATAGGAAGAGACTATTGTGACATTTAGGACACAGAAGAGGGCAAAACAGAGGATACCTGGGCAGACCCAAAATACCACAGCGCCTGGACGTCCTGGTGCAAGGCCAGGCAGCGGGCCAGGTGGTCCCGGTCCCCCGTCACCACGTTCACCACGCCCGCTGGCAGCAAGGTGGCCATATCCTAGGGGATGGAGAGAGTGGGCCACCCGGGGGTGGGGGTGGGGGAAGGAGCCTGAGACCCTGAGGGCAGTGGGGGCTGGGGCGTGAGCACCCAGGGAAGTATAAAGGGGCTCCCAGAAGGAATCGGACTGGGGTTACCATGGTTCCCGAAGGGTAAGAGTGAGAGCTCAGCTCCATGTAGGTCTTGGGGTACATTTCACTTGCCCCAGGGGTTGCTGGAAGCAGCAGCAGGCAGGCAACTGTACCTGGCAGACATCCAAGGCGGGAATAGGACAGGTCCCGCTGGGCACCAAGACCACAGTGTTGCCAAGTGCCAAGGCAGGGGCCAGCAGGGACACGAAGGCCAGCAGGGGGTGCTCGTCTGGGCACACGACAGCCAGCACGCCCAGCGGCTCCCGTAGTCGGAGCACAGGACCTCTCAGCTCAGCTACCTGCAGGGACAGGGGAGGTCAAAGGCCGGGCAGGGGTACCTGACCACCCTCCCACAGCCCCCTGCATCACCCGCCTCTTCCTCCTCACACCCCCCCCTTTGCTTCTCCATAACATCTCCAATAATAATAAAACCGGGTAATGGTTCAGAGCCAGATGGCCTGGTTTCAAGTTCCAGCTCCATCAACTTTCAGCTGTGTGACTTCGAGCGAGTCACTTCACCTCTCTGGGCCTTTGTTTCCCATATTTCAAATGAGGATAATAATAGTAGCTACCTCAGAGATTTGCGGTTCAAATGAAATGAGCGGCCCTGGCTGGGTAGCTCAGTTGGTTAGAGCACCGTCACAATACACGGAGGTTGTGGGTTCGACCCTCAGGCACAACACATACCCAGGGTGTGGGTTCGGTCCCCAGTCGGGGCACATATGGGAGACAACCAATGGATATTTCTTTCTCACATCAATGTTTCTCTCTCTCTCGCTCTCTCCCCACCTTCCTCTCTCTCTACAATCAACAAACATATCCTTGGGTAAGGATAAAAAAACCCTTTATAACCTATATTCACTAATCTGCACAGATTTTAAAGGGCACAATTTGATAAGTTTCAACACATGCATACACTCAGGAAACCATCACAATCAAGACCATGAACTTTACCCCCAACAATTCCTTGTGCCCCTTCGTGACCTCCCCCTCTAACCCGTGCTCAACCCCTCTCTGCCCTCAGACAGCCACTGACCTGCCTTCTCTCACTATAAACGAAACTGTATTTCCTACAACTGTCTAGATATGGAATCCCAATCTACACGGTTTTGTAATCTTTTTAAAAAATAAATTTTGTTTTGTGGTTTCCTCTTGTACACCCCCTGCTGGGGATCTGGGCCACAACCCAGGTATGTGCCCTGATGGGGAATCGAACCCATGGCCTTTCGGTTTGCAGGCTGGTGCTCAATTCACTGAACCACACCAGCCAGGGTGTTATTAATTTATTTTTAGAGAGAGGAGATGGGAGGGAGAAAGAGATGGAGAAACATCGATTGGTTGTCTCTCACCCACTGTGCCTCAACTAGGGTCCGAACCCACAGCTCAGGCATGTGCCCTGACGAAGAATCAAACCTATGACCTTTCGCTTTACAGAATGACGCCCAACCCACGGAGCCACAGCAGCCAGGGTTGTGCCTTGACCTTGTCCACTCAGCATAGGCGTTGGGAGGTTCCCCCACGCCGTGGCCCGCTCTGTCCTGCTGACTGTGAACAGGACCACGTTGCAAGGACATGCCCTGTCTCATCTCCTAACCCGCTCAAGGACACCTGGGTCGCTTCGAGGTTCCGGTTGCTATGAGTAATGCTGCTCTAAGTCTTTGTGTGGACGCATGCTTTCATTCCTACGGGTTTAAGCCTAAAACTTAAGTTTGTTGAGGTAAATACCTAGGAACCATGGCTGGGTTAAGAGGGTCACTATTCACTTTTTAGGGAACTGCTAAGCTGTTTTCCAAAGTGATTGCCCCAGCCACAGTCCCACCAGCCGGGTCCGAGAGTCCTGGGTCCTCCATAAGGCAGTGCGGCGGCTAATGATACAGAGGGAACTCTGAGACGCAGGGCCACCCTGAGGAAGAGCGGTCTCAGCACCTGGGCCTGGTTCCCCAGCCCAGAGCTCCGGAGTCAGGGGGAGGAGCCCATGAAACACGTGACTGAAAATCAGGATGGGGGGCGGATTCCATCCATAGGGGGAGGTGAAAGGCTGCTGGTGACCCAGGGTCCCCTAGATGGGACTGCACGCCAACTCTGGCTCGCAGGCACGGCCCTGGGCTCCGGCCGGTGGACAGCGCCTTGGGGAGGGGCTGCCAGAGTCACACAGGGAGAGGCTGGGTAGTGCGGCTTCTGGGGGGACAGCCTCCAGGAGCTCCATGTGGAGTTCTCCCACTGCATGGCCCACGGGTACCATCTTTCCTGGGTTAACAACCCCTCTGCCATCTCATCAGCCCGAGGACTCCCTGAGGCCCCCTCTAACCAACCCCAGCCCGTCAGAGCCTCAGTCATAGGCTGCAACCAGACTGGGCCCACGCTGCTGTCTTTCTTTAAAAATTCTCAGGGAGCCCTGGCTGCTGTGGGCTCAGTGGATTGAGTGCTGGCCTGCAAAGCAAAGGGGTGCCGGTTCGATTCCCAGTCAGGGCACATGCCTGGGTTGCGGGCCAGGTCCCTAGTTGGGGGCACACCAAAGACAACCACACGCTGATGTTCCCCCGCCCACCGACTTTATCTAAAAACAAATAAATAAAACCTCCCAAGGAACTCTGGTCGGGCGGGGGCAGGTGGGGGTGGGCGGGGGCGGTGTGCCACAGAGAGAAACCAAGTTGCCTGGTTTCAGGGTGAGGCCGTCTCCCTACACCACCAACAGGGGCCACCTTTCCAGCGGTAAGTGCTCCCTCCGCAGGCCCCATCTTAGTCTGCCTCAGCCACAGACCTGACACAGGTGCCAAGCTTCAACCTGTGTTAACCTAGTGAACACCACTCGCCCGCAACGGGCCATTCCCTGAGACACTGCCTTGTGCTGCTCGCAAGCTGCCGGAGGCTCTTTCAGGGGCTGAGCCTAACGGGCCACCCGCAGGTGGCAGCAGGGCTCCGGGCACCTTGGGCCTTTTGCTGACCTGCCCCAGGCCTGGCACGGGTGGTGGCCAGCCTTGGGGCCCAGCTTGGCCCCTCCCACAGGCACCCAGGCCCAGCTGAGGCAGCTACCAACCACAGGTCCCTTCGGATCTCCTAGCAGGGAGCCCAGGGCTGGTCACGGGCAGCCCCTGACATGGACCTGCACTGGAGTCCCTCCCAAGAGGCCCAGGAATCAACACATCTGGTGGCGCCACCTGCTGAGCTCCACCAGCGGCAGGTCTCGGCAGGCACGGGTGCTGCTGTAATAAATTCCACCTCCTGGGGTCAGCCCACACGCACGGGTTGTGGCCGCCCAGAGAGAGGGTCAGCCCCATGCCCACTCACGGACATGCCAACAGCAATCAAGGCACAACTATGAGAGGAGGGTACACAGAACCCACACAAGGGACACACCAGGGGCACCAGGCTCAGGTGGTCGAAGAGATGGCAGCACTGGGCCCCACAGGACACCCGCCACACGGGACACCTGTTGGGACTGCGAGGTGTACCTGCCATCCCTGGGACTATTTTGCAACCACCAATTTGTGCTTCCCAACTTCCTCAGTTTGACCTCCAGCCCCCCAGGTCCTCTCCCCTCTGACAGTCCTCGGTCTGTTCTCTGAACCTGTAAGTTCTGTTCCAGTTTTTTTTTTTTTTTAAGATTTTATTTATTTTAGAGAGAGGGTAAGGGAGGGAGGGAGAGAGGGAGAGAAACATGGATGTGTGGTTGCCCCTTGTGCGCCCCCTACTGGGGACCTGGCCCACAACCCAGGCATGTGCCCTGACCAGGGATCAAAGTGGTGACCTTTCAGTTTACAGGACTATGTTCCAACCAACTAAGCCACACCAGCCAGGGCAGAAAAATGGCTAAAATTTTATATAAAAATTGATGATTCTAAAATGTTGGCGAGGATGTATAGAAACAAGCACATATATTACTGGTGGGATAGCAAAATGGTAGAGCACTTTGAAAAACTATTTGGCAGTTTCTCGTAAAATTAAATGTGCACCACCTAGCAATCTGATTCCTAGTTACTTACTCAGAGCAATAAAAACTTATATTCATGCCTGGCTGGTATAGCTCAGTGGATTGAGTGAGGACCTGTGAACCAAAGGGTTACAGGTTTGATTCCCAGTCAGGGCACATGCCTGGGTTGTGGGCCAGGTCCCCAGTAGGGAGTGTGTGTGAGGCAACCACACTTTGTTTCTCTCCCTCTCTTTCTCCCCTCTTGCCTCTCTCTAAAAATAAATAAATAAAATCTTAAAAAAAACCCACAACTTATAGTTACACAAAGGCATGTATACAAAGTGCTTATTCATAATAGCCAAAGGTATTCTAGGAGCTGGCAAATACAGGAACAAATACGGTACATACGTAAGAGACTACTATTCAGTAATAAAAAGGAACGCCCTGATCTGTGCAATGAGGATGAATCTTAAAACAAATGAAAGAGCCCTGGCTCATGTGGTTCAGTTGTGTTGAGCATCGTCTGGCAAACCAAAAGGTCTCCTGTTCGATTTTTGGTCAGGGCATGTGCCTGGGTTTCGGACCAGGTCCCTAGTAGGTGGTGCATGAAAGGCAACCACAGATTGATGTTTCTTTCTTTTTCTCCTTCCCTTTGGCTCTCTCTAAAAAGAAATGATTCTTAAAAAAAAAAGCAGTGAGAGAAACCACAGACAAGACACTACACAGTATGATTGCATTTACGATCTCCTGGAGGAAAAGTAAAAGGACGGAAAGTTTAGCGGTTGCTGAGCACTGGGAGCCGCGGGAAGGGGATTAGCCACAAAGGGACGGGCGAAAGCCTTCGGGGGGGATGGACCTGTTTTGTATTGATTGTGAATATACAACCGCATATATTGTCAAACTTCATCAAATTGTAGAACTAAGAAAGTAGTTTACTATGTATATATGACACTTCAGTTAAAGCCAAACTTCCTAAACTGTCAAACAGCCCTGGCCGGGTAGCTCTGTGGGTTAGAGTACCCTCCCAATACACCAAGGTTGCAGGTTTGATCTCTGGTCAGGGCATATACAAGAATCAACCAATGACTGAGTACATAAGTAGAATAATAAATCAATATCTCTCCCTCTCTAAGAAAGCAGTAAATAATTTTTTGGAAAGGAAGACAGTCAAGGCTATAATGCATCAAATTGATTTCGTGACCCAGTAATGAATGGGTCAATAAAAATATGAAAACACTAATCTGAGGTATGCCCATTATACAGATGAGGAAATCGAGGTACAGAGAGGTGAGGTTACAACTTGGCCCCAGGTCTGGCTCATTCCAGAGCCTTTGCCTGACCTCGCTCCGGACTGCCCACCGACCCCTCTCACCTGCAGGCTGTGGTTCTGCGCCTGCGCGCGAGCGCCCCAGTCCCGAAGCCGCCTCACGCTCAGCTCCACCTCTGCCTTGGCAGCCTTGGGCTCCACTCCGTGCCTCTCCAGCCTCAAGGCCAAGGTGGGCTCCCGGCGCTCCAGGGCGGCTGCCAGCGCCCATAGCAGGGCTGCCCGGGCTCCCGGTGACTGGCCCACCCAGCTGTGGGCGGACAGTGCACAGTGGGGGCTGATATCCTGGTTCTGGCTCTTCCCAAGCGCCCCTCCTCTGTCCACAGCCCCTCCCCCAGGGGTCCTGGCCCCATGGCTTCATGCGCCCGAGGAAGAGAATGAGGACCCAGCCCCCATTCCGTCTGCCCTGGGAGCTCGGACTCCGCAGCCCACCAGCCCTCAAGGTCCAAACTCCACCACCCATGAGCCCGTAGGCGTCCCAGACTACCCTCCCGGATGCCTCATGACCCTCGGGCTTTCTTGCGTGACCCCGCATACCCAGGTGCAGCCTGGTGAGCCGCCTCCACGGCACCTCGGACATCCTTGGCTCCGCCCTCGGCCACATAGCCATGGAGTTTGCCCTGTGAATCCTGGATGGGCCTGGAGCTCCGGGCCCCAGGAGCCTGGAAACGGCCGGCCACGAAGAGCCCATACGGGGGTGCTGGGCTGCAGTAGGGTGGGCTGTGAGGGCGGGTCCTGGGGCCAGGGTCCGCTCAGAGCCACACGCCTCCCCCCCGGATGGCTCACTCCGGCTCCCACGAGCCTCTGGATGACTCCAAATTCTTGGCCACATGAGACTCTGGGAGATCCCAGACCTTCCCTGAGCAGACCTAGGCCCCATCAGGCCTGGATGGTGGGTGTGAGGCCGCAGGACCCACAATGCAATTTTCAGTGGGCCTCTGGGACCCCTCGATGGCTCCAGCGAACCCCCTGCAGTCCGTGGGGGGCCTGCCACAACCTCCCTCGGCCCCTTCCACACCCCTGTGGCTCTGGGAGGTGCCGCCCCTCCAACAGCTCACCTGGGACCTGTTTCAGGCCCAGCCGGTAGGGTCGAGGGGACAGCAAGGCCAAAGGTGTCATAGTTCAGATTCTCAGAACGGTAGGGCAGCCGGGCAGGGGTCCCCGAGGGTCGCAGGTACTCATAGAGACCCTGTGAGGGGCACAGTGTCAAGGGGATGCCAGGTGGGCGCTAGGCTGAGGAAGGGGTGGTGGCGGTGGCGGGGGGTGGGGTGGGGGCCACTCACATCTAGGCCGCCGTGCCGGGATGACCCGCTCTCCCTGCAGCCACCTGTGGGTACCGCCGGGTCTCTGAGGCCATGGGCGTTGACCCAGACGGTGCCCACCCGCAGCCTGTGGGGAGATGGGGCGTCAGAGAGAAAAACAGGAAGTCAAGGGGGTGGGGACTCAGAGAGGCTGGGGAGGGAGACCCGGAGACAGACGGAGACACCAGGACGGGAGAGCGGGCCACCCTGACAGGCTGCTCCTCTGCCCCGGGGGCGGACTGACCCATAGCCCAGCTCCAGGGCCTGCCCCAGCCTCTCGCTCCACACGCTGGCGCTGCCGCCTCGCGGCGTCCCGTTGGCCATAGCTAGCGCCTCCTTGGCCGTGCGGAATGGGGAGGCCACGACCACAGGCCACGGCACCTGGAAGGGTGAGAGTGAGTTCGCGCAGCCTGGCCAGCCCCCGTCCAACACTTGCCCCCACCAGGGGGCCAGCGGTCAGCAGTCAGCGGCCCCGAGACCGAGGCCAGGTGGTCCCACGGGGCCCTCGGAGGCTGCCCAGGTCTGGGTGCAGATGCGGAGGTGGAACAGGATCCCCGGGGTGCTGGGGGCTCACCTCTGCCTGGGTGCCCGGGGCGGCTGGGGGCAGATCGGAGACCAAGGTTGGGGGAAAGAACGGGCTGTCGGAGGGCACGTCACCAGCCTGGAACACCTGGCGAGGGAGAACCGGACCTGGGGGTCGGCTCCCAGGTGGCTCCTCCCCAAGAACCCAGAAGGCCTGGCCCCCAGCCCCTCCTCCCTGGCACCTGTGCGCCCTGGCTCTGGGCCTCTTGCACGTAGTGCTGGGCCAGGTCACGCGCAGCGGCCCCTCGGGCCCCCATGTCCACGGCCCCGTCCAGCCCTCGGCCTCCCCGAAGCCGCTCCATCCGCGCCTGCAGCCGCCTCATCGTCTCCTCCCACACGGACTCCTGGACAAGAAGCCTGAGGCCCCCCTGTTAGGAGAGGGGATATCAGGGTGGGCCAGCTCGGGGCCCGTGTCCCCGCAGACGGCCGAGACTCAGGGACACATGTGCAGGGAGCAAAGGAGGGCCAGGGAGACGTGGCCAGGGACCCTGGTGACTCTCTGAGGCCCCAGGCAGATCCCAAGCAGGAGATGGAGTGACAGAAAGCTGGTGATTCAGAGGAAAGACGGGTTAGAAAACCAGTGACACTGACACTCAGAACAATGGGGAACCCTACAGAACAGAGACACAGGCCCCGCCCCTGAGAACCAGGAGAGTGGGGCAGTGGGGTGCGGACAACTGAGGTGATGAGGAGTTCCAAGCACACAGTGGCATAAAGATGGCTTTGGGACGCCAAGAAGTGAAGATCAAAATGAAGAGACATGGGGCCCCCAAGGTCTGGAGACAGACAACCTTGGCCCCCAGGATGCTAGGGGAACCCCGCCCACGGGCCTCACCGGGCTGCGGTCGGACCAGGCTGCATCCACGACACCCTCCACGGCCGAGTCCACGTCCGCTGCCTCCGTCAGCAGCAGCAGCGACTCGGCCCCCAGTGCCAGGCCCAGCTCGGGCCCCACGCCTGCCAGAGTCCGCCGCAGGACGCGTCCTTCCTGAGGGACACCACCCCGCAGGTTTCAGCTTGGGGGGTGGAGCCTTCAGGCCCCCCAGCTGTGTCCTGTCCCTGTCCTAGCCCCGAAGATACCTCCACCGATCCGCAGAAGGCCACCTTCTGGACTCCAGGCTGGCCGGCCAGGACAGGTACCAGGGAGGCGGGGCCGCTGAGCACGTTGAGGATTCCTGGGAAAGGGCCTAGTTCCCCTGCCAGCTGGGCCAGGAGGAGGGGCGTTGGGGAGGCCGGAGGCACGAGGACCACCACAGTGCAGCCTGGGGAAGGCGGGCAACTCTAGGACCGGAGTCCAGGCCCCCGGGCTCTCCTCCCTCAGAACCAGGGATCCAGGCCCCCAGCCCCTCCTCCCTCAGACCAGGGGTCCAGGCCTCCAGTCCATCATTTACCTACAGCCAGGGCAGGGCAAATCCGCCACATCATCTCAAGGAGGGAGAACGTGGGTGGCAAGATGAGACCAACCACTCCTGCAAGAACATGTGAGGTGACTGGGACAGGCACTGCCAGGTGCTGACAGAGGACGGGGCCAGGGGCCGGGACTCCTGCCTCTCACCCATGGGCTCCCAGCCTGCCAGCGCCTCCTCCTGGCTGTGTGCCTGAATTGCATGGTACTGGAGCAGCTGTAGGACCAGGGGGACATCCCTGTCTCGAACCTCTCTGACAGCCCGCCCAGTAACCAGGGACTCCAGGGTCCACAGCAGCCGCTGGTGCTTCTGGATCATCTTGGCCAGCCTGTGGAGAAGGCAAGGGGGACGGTCATTTCCCAGGGCCCCTTGGCCTGATAATGGTCTTGGAACGTATATATCCCATATACCTGGACTACAAAAATCCCCATGAACCCCTGCGACATCCCCACCATTTTACCAGAGGAGGACACTAGAGATTCACAGGGAATGTAGTCAGGAAAACAAAACCCGAGGCTGTCGTGTGAAGATTTTGTACACCTTTAACCCCCAGAGGTACTGGGGCTTAACTCTAATCTCAATTACATTTTGGGAAATGGAATCTTTGTCTCAGCTGCCCCAGGAAGTTGCTGGAAAATGGGCTCTGAGGCTCCACCAGCCCTGATGAGCCCCAAGGATATTCTGGGAAATTGGGGCTTTACTATGACTAGTCCCGGTGAATAGTGAGAACTAGATGTTTTAGCCTCTGAAGGCCCCAAGGCATGCTGGGAATATCAGCCTCTGTGGCCAATGAATTCAGTGTGATGTTGGGAACCAGAGTTATCTTTTCTCAAATTCTTCCCCACCTCCCGGCGTCCACACCTCAGCTGCTTCACCTGGTCAGGTGCTGGGCCCGGGAGGCCCCAGGGAGTCTACTCCAGCTCTCCAGCGCGGTCCTGGCCGCTTCTGCCGCCGCCGCCACATCCTCAGGCTGGGCCTGCAGGCAGCTAGCCAAGTGCTCCCCTGGGGAGAGGAATGAGGGGACCCAGATGGAAGAGGGGAGAGGCTGTGTCAGGACAGGAAGGGGTGGAGATTTCTGGAGACTGGGAGCAGGTAAAACAGGTGGTGCCCAGTCTTGAGGACGGTCTCAGTTGTATCACGTGACAAATGGGGATAAGTCTATTGGTCACTGCTCTGGCTGCCTGCTGCAGGCAAGGGAAGGATTTTTGGAGATGGTGACTCTCAAAAGCATCTTCAGAGACTAGGGGCCATATTAGAATAATTATTATCAGAAGGAACCAGAACTCTCAGCCTCCTCCCCCCACCAGCTTTGAGCCAAGAGAATGGGGTGTCTTTGGTGGGGATGGCTGGGGGCATGGATCCCTCCCCCTCCCCTGCTGACAAGGGGACACCTCCTACCTGTGACGGGATCCTGGCAGGGCACCGAGTCCCTGTGCTCCGGTTTTAGCCACTTTCCGTCTACATAGTGACCCAAGCACCAGTCCTGGGTGTCCAGCCAGGCCTGGGTGGGAGGAGGGTGGACACAGTTTGGAACGCGGCCTGGGACACAGCTGGGGGAACTGGATCCCCACCCAGTGTCCTCTGGGAGGGAAACACCTGTCCCCCTTTGCCCCATCCAGCTAATTCTTTTCCTGTGTAGGTGGAAATACGCGTAAACATAAGGGACATGTAACAGAAATTCACCATTTTAAAGTGTACAATTCAGTGGTGCTTAGTACATTCACAGTGTCGTACAACCATCACCTCTAATTCCAGAACATTTCATCATCCCAAAAGATAACTCTGTAGCTATTCAGGCGGTCATTGTCCTTCCCCCAGTGCCCTCAACCCCTGGTACGTACTAGTCTGCTTTCTTATTTATTTTTAGAGGGAAAGGGAGGGAGAAAGACAGGGAAAGAAACAATGTGTGGTTGCCTCTTGGGCACTCCCCTTGTGGGGACCTGGCCTGCAACCCAGGCCTGTGCCCTGACTGGAAATCGAACTGGTGACCCTTTGGTTCACAGGCCAGTGCTCAATCCACTGAGCTGCAGCAGCCAGGGCCTAATCTGCTTTCTGTCTGCATGGATTTGCCCATTCTGAGCATTTCACAGAAGCGGGATCCCACACCATGTGGCTTTTTTGTGGCTGGCTTCTTTCACCTGGCACGGCGTTTTGGAGGTTCCTCCATGTTGCAGCCTATTTCAACGTGTCTTTTCATGGCTGTCTGATATTATCTGCATAGACCACATTTTGTTTATCCATTTGTCTGCTGATGTGTACTTGGGGTTGCTTCCGCTTTTTGGCTATTGGGAACTGTGCTGGGAGAAATGTTCACGCGCAAGTTTTTGTTTGTGCCCCAGCAACCCTTGCCAGGGTCCTGGAAGCAACGCCCATGAGACCGTGTGGCTTCTGAGTCAGGTGGCGTCCGCACCCCGCTGTGGAATGGCGTTCCCACCCATCTCAGCTGTCATCACTTGGGGATTAGGTATGGCCCTCACGGAACACAGAAAGGGGCAGTTTATTAGGCAGCGACATGTGTAATCCAGCCCAAGGCGTCACACGTGGGCCTTGCAGAGGGCAGCCTGGTGAGGGGACCCTGGAGTGAGGCCTGCCTCTGGGACTTACTGTGCAACCTAAACAGAACTTATAATACTCTGGCCTCTGCTAAGCCACCTGGGAGTTGGGGGTGACAGTCCCCCCCACCTCACAAAGCTGTGGTGAGAATTAAATGTATCACATGTATTATATGGTCAGAGCAGCACTACTTAAAACTTTCTATTGATGTTTTAATTTCTTTTAAGGTTTTATTTACTTATTTTTAGAAGGGGAATGGAGAGACAAAGAGAGAGAGGGAAATATCAATGTATGGTTGCCTCTTGTGCATCCCTACCGGGGACCTGGCCTGCAACCCAGGCTTGTGCTCTGACTGGGCATCAAACCAGAGACCCTTTGGTTCGCAGGCCAGTGCTCAATCTGCTGAGCCACAGCAGCCAGGGCTGACTTTCTATTAATCTTGTTTCATCTCTTCCTCCACATTGGCTTCATGGCCCTGGTCCTGCCTTCTCCAAATCCTTGCTAAATCTAAGCCACACTTCCCACTTTTTCCGTTTTCAAACTCTTCTCTCAGCATCCCCGATGTCAGTCTCGTGATCTTTCTCTTCCCCTGCCAACTGACCCTTCTCCTTATTTTGTGTTAAAGTCAAATGACCAACCACAAGTTCCCAATTCAAACCCATCCCGCTGGGGGAGAGAGTATGAAACAGTTGAGGGTGTTTGAACCTGAGCTAGGCTGTTAACATCAATTAATATGTTTAGCCCTGGCTGGTGTGGCTCAGTGGACTGAGTGCCGTCCAGCGAACCAAAGAGTTGTCTGGTGGATTCCCAGTCAGGGCACATGCCTAGGTTGCAGGCCAGGTCCCCAGTAGGGGGCACACCAGAGGCAACCACACATTGATGTTTCCCTCCCTGTCTTTCTCCCCCCCTTCCCCTTTAAAAATAAATAAAGAAAGAATTTAAAAAATCGATTAATTAACTGATATTAAAGAATGACTGGTAATGGCAAGCCTGCCAATGGCATGGCGGTTATGGTACATTATGAGTCCCTCTGTGTTAGAAATGAGGAATCAAATATTTATGGGAAGAGATAACAGGATACCTGGGATGTAATCACTCCAGAAAAAGAGAACAGAAAGGGGCACAACACTGGACCAAATGTCGATGATGGCTGAAGCTGAGGGATGGGTACATGAAAGTTCCTAAAGTATTCGATGGAATTTGGCAACGTTTCCCCCCAAAGGAAAACAAAACCCCAAGTGAATGCCCACAGGGTCCTGGCAGCCCATGCCGGTGTGGGAGAGGGCCCGGCAGAGACTGGGAAGCCACAGCCCGTCTAACTCTAACTGTCACGAAAGGGTCCAGATGATCTTTGTCAGGGGATGTGGGTCAAAAGTTGCCAAATGTGGGGATTTTATTTTCAACAGAAGCTGGAATCCCGGATGTTTACATGGAATTAGTTGTCCATTAATTCACATTTTTACAAATCAAGTTTGGGCCAAAGAAAACATGTTTGTTGGCTGAATCTGAGCAACAGACTGTAAGTTTGAGACCTTCCTTTGCTTGGGGAGAGGTGGGGGTACCACAGGCTCTGGAATCTGAGGGCTCGGCCTCAAATCTCAGCTTCCTCTTTTGAGCTGTCGCCATGGGCAAATTACCTCTTCAAGCCTCTATGTGCTATCACTAAAATACTGACAAGCAGCCCCTTTCTCTGTGGCTCTGGGGGGCACTCAGTGCAATTATGATGAACACAGACGGTGGCATGTAGAAAGCAGCCAACAGCCCCGGCTGCTGTGGCTCAATGGATTGAGCACAGGCCACTGAACCAAGGGGTCCCCGCCCCCAACCCCCTTCAATTCCCAGTCCATTCACATAGCTGGGCTGTGGGCCAGGTCCCCACTAGGGGCGCGCGAGAGGCAAGCACACATTTATATTTCTCTCCCTCTCTTCCTCTCTCCTTTTCCCTCTCTCTAAAAATAAACAAATACAATCTTTAAAATGCTCTACTGGATAGCATCTTTAAAAATAAAGCAGCCAATAAATACAAGCCACTATCCCATTACTATTTCATGATATTCCACTTCTAACCTCCAAGTGTGGGAATTGTCTGTACTTTGTCCCAGTTCCTTTTATCTGAGTCTCACTATTTCTCTAGATAATCTTGTCACTCCCACGGTTCATTTATTTTTCTACGTTGGTGCCTCCCAGGTCCCTGTCTCCAGACCTGAGGCTCACAGTAGTGTCTGACCGCTACCTGGCCCGTGCCTGTCCCCAAGTCCCCCACACTCCAATATGTGACAACTCAGCTCAGCATCTTTTCCCAAAAGCCTGCTCCTCCAGCGTTTAACCATGGAGGAGGGGAGGAGGAACAGGCACCCAGTCACAGAGCCAGTCCCCTAGAATTGTCCCTGCCCTTTCTATTCCCCAAACCCTGTTCGTCCTGCATCCTTGCCTCGTCCCCTCTCTTCCATCCCCACAGCTGGCACAGACTCTGGTCTCAGCTCCTTCCATTCGGCCTATTATTCTAGCCTCCTCCTCTCTTCCTCAAGAGCGCTTCTCACGCTTGGGTGCTAGAGGACCCTGCGAATTGACCACAGCCTCACAGCGGGGATTGAGGGACCCGAGTAATTACAGAAAATTCAAGGCACCTTACTGGAACCACCAAAACGTTGTGGGAGACCCTGAGGGATCACAGGAGTCCTGAGGAATTTCTGAACACCGTGGTTCATGGGAGCATCATCAGGATTTTAAGAGGCCCTGAGGATTATGGGAGCCCCACGGGACATTCTGAGAGGTATGGGGGACTCACGACGGTACTCTCAGGGGTTGTATAAGTTCAGATGTATTCTGGGGTTCTCGGAATTCTCGGGATCAAAGACGCCCCACAAGTAGAGGGGACCCTAAGAAATCACGGGGACTCCACGGAGGTTCCGGGAGATTAAGGGAGCTCCACAATAATTCGGGGGGGGGGTGCCCTGGAGGACCACGGGAGGCACAGGATGTTCTGAGGAATCATGGGAAGTCTACGGGGGTTCGGAGGTTCGTTGGGAGATCATGGGCGCCCCACGGGAATTCTGAGTCCCGCGGAACCACGGGAGGTTCTGAAAGAGCTCTTAAGAATGAAGGGAACCCCGCGGTTGGCGGTGTATGAGGAATCGCGGAAACACCGCCCAGAGCTGGGGCCGTGCGGCACGAGAACTACTGAAAGTCAGGAGAACTGACTAAAAGGTGAAGAGGCAGCAATCGCAAATACTCAAGCGAACGCGCTCCGGGAGTGGGTTCCCAGGGATGGCGGAAATCACGGGAGCCCAGGGGGGCGGAGTCGCTGAGCTGCCGCGGTGGGTCACGGGAGTCCGCGCGCAAAACGGGGCGGGCGTACAGGGGAGGGGGATCGGCAGCGCCGGCAGGTAGGCCCTCACCAGCACGCATGCGTGGCTCTCCGGCACCGGTCCGTACTCCAGCGTGGTGAAGATCTCGCGCGCGCGTGACTCTGCGCGCGTGGCAGCCATCACCCGTCCAGACCACTTTCCACCGTCTGCCGGGCGCTCTGCCCAAGGAAACCTTGAGGTCCAAAGGGTGGAACCGCCCTCTCCAGAGCAAAGGGCGGGCTGCAGGAGATAGAGCGTGATCCAACCTTAGCACCCGGCGACCCCGCCCACGGGCCAACATTTGGGGAACTTAGTTTGGAGCATGCGCAGTCCTCAAAGCGGAGAGGGGTGGTGGCTGGGGACGCGAGAGAAAATGGGGGTCCCTTGCAAATAATTAGAATTCCAGATTTAGAAGGGTGGCCGTATTGGGGTGTCTTCCTACTACCCCGTTCACAAAAGTACAGCTTTTGGTGCGAAATTTATTTACTAGGGAATCGAGTTTAGCTTTGGGACGAAGCGATAGTTCAGAGATCAGAAGGGAACCTTTTAGGATGGATACTGCAATTTAGGTTTTCCAGAATGTCTCAGCTTTGACTGTCCCATGACCCGGCCAGCTACTGTTGTCAGGAGGGAAGTGTGACTTTAATCGAGAGCGGAAGTGTGGCACTGAGAGGTCTCAGTATTTAATTATGATTGGTTGAGGTGAAGGGCGTGGCCTCGTGCTTAGGCTATGATTGGTCCGTAGCAGAAGACGGTTGCTGGTTAGCGAATGAGCGCTGGGGTAGTCGGAAACGCGCCCGCTCGAATTTCTGGTTACACAGAGACTTGGAAGGGTGGCTGTCATTTACACATTTGTCATGTAGGACCTAGAGAGCATCTAGAGATATTGATTCCCAACAGATTTGACGGCGGTATCCGAACTGAGAATTGTAGTATTGTTATCTCTGGCCAGATTCTTAGATTTTCGTATAGAATAGTGGGTGTCGGAGTCTGTTGAGGGCTCGGGAAGCAGGCCCCTGAGTACAGCTCCCAGCAAAATTTCCCCCACGTAGGGGTTGCTAGGGACGCTAAGGTCTCTCTTCCTCAGGGCCAAGATGGATTCGAAACTGCTGGTGCCGGAGCTAAATGAGGCAGAGGCAATGGGCACCGAGACGGCGCGTTTCGAGGAGCTGCTGCTGCAGGTGCGGACTGACCAGGGCTACTGTGTCCCTGGGTATTTGGGGGGAAATTTTTTTTTTCCCAGAGATGGAATTACACTTCCCAGAATGCACTAGGGAGACAACAGGGCCCACGGGAATTGTAGTTTGTTAACCCCTGTTTTACTAGGCTCTGGAGTAAATGGGACTGGGATTGGAGTTGTCCTTTGGGTGGCTGTCCAAGGAGCAAGGGGACAGAATGTGTCTTATTCCCTGCATGGCTCATATCTATAAAATCGCTCAATAAACATTGGAGGAACAAATGAGGGGTCTGTGAGCACAGATGCCAAGCCTGGAAGTCGTTTCCCTTCACACAGGCCTCCAAGGAGCTCCACCAAGCCCAGACAAGCAGACCAGAATCAACACAGATCCAACCGCAACCTGGTGAGAAAGGCAGAGACCCAGAGGGAGTGAGAGAGATTTCCCGGGGAGAGGCGGAGAGCGACTGGGGGCAGGCGATGCAGAGAGGAGGGAGGAAAGAGACACAGTGGCGGAGTTTAGAGATCTTGGTAGGGGAGTGAACAGAGACCCAGCAGGAGATCCAATGAGAGAAGGGGGTGGACAGGAGTGACTAGGGGGACAGAGACTCCAGGGTAGGAAAAGGGAGGTCCCAGGGGTGGGGAGAGGAACAGAACCAGAATGTGGAGGACCGAGACTCAGGGAGGGGGACAGATGAAAAGAGGGGGACACTGAGGAGAAGCTGGGTGGAAATCAAGACTGATCATTCCCACCAGGCTTCTGCATAAAGACCAAGTCATCCCAAGGGAAGGTTTTCATCAACATCTGTCACTCTCCCTCCATCCCTCCTCCGGCTGATGTGATGGAGGATGAGCTCCTTCAAATGCTGGAGGAGGACCAAGCCGGCTTCCGCATCCCCATGAGTCTGGGAGAGCCTCACGCCGAGCTGGATGCAAGTCAGTGCCCTCCAAGGACCCAGGACTCCAGCCCCCCGGGCACCTTCCTTCCCTAGGATCCCAGAATCCAGGGCCCAGGGCCCTCCTCTTGCAGGACCTGGATATCTGGATGCCCCTTCCCACCCTGATCAGATCCTTTCCCTGAGGCACATCACTAGCCTGCTGGGCCTCCAGTACCAGCTGCCTGAGGCAGTCCCGGTTCCGCCCGCCTGGCCAGACAAGCCCTTCTCTTTGCCCCACTCCAGGGCGAGGGAGGGCTGGGCAGGTGCTTCACAGCCCATCTTCTGGCTCTGGTCCCTGGCAGGCTCTCATCTTCATCTGTTTTCTACTTTGCCCTCTCCCATGTCTGTCTCTGTTGCATTTCTGTCTCTACATCCTTGTGTTTTCAATTCACATGTGCCCCCTGAAGCCTCCTGGGACCAAGCCCTCGGGGGTGGGGACTTATCAAACCCAGAACCTGGTATTTCAATATTGTGTGAGTCTTTTTGCCCTGGTAGGGTCTCTTTGCCCACACTGAGCAGTCAGGAAAGGTTGCCTGGAGGAGATGTCAGCTATAAGACTGGAAGGAACCATAGGAGTTCATCAGGCCAAGACAGGGAAGAGGGTTCTGGGCAGAAGGGACAGAGGGGTCCAGAGGCCAAAAAGAATACTTCAATGGGATTGGTCAGTAATTGAGGGAGATGGAAGAAATTTCCAGGAGGCTGTCACACAAATAAGCTTCTTTCTCTCCAGGTGGGAGGGGCAGACCACAACGGGCCTCCAGTGCCAGGAGGGAGTACTCTGACCTTCGTCTGGGGGTGCTGGGGAGCCGAGGGAGGGCTGTGAGCAGGGCAGAGGCAGGGCCAGCGCTGGGGCATCGTGGACAAGGACCAGAGGGGGAAGACTGGAGGCCTGTGTGAGTCCAGACTGGCAAATGCGTGTCGAGTCCTCGCTTCCTAATCATCTCTGGGCCTCTCTGATTCTTGTGGCTGCTATTCTTTATTACACAGGTGGCAAACACCAGGCCCGTGGGCTGAATCTGGCCCTCTGCCTTGTTTTATCCGCCTGGCACCTTGTTTCTACCCCGCGGCAGCACTGAGCTCTCTCTTAACTGTTAAGGAGTGGTTAACATTTATACAATCCTAAAATGACATTGGGCCCTTTGAAGGCAACCTTGAGGCTGATGCTACCCCAGTGAAAATGAGTTTGACACCCCTGCTTTATTGTTTCTTCCTTGCCTGTGTTTGGGCGGTGGGGTTGCCCCAGAGGGCTGGTGGGGCCTCATCCCCTTTCTCTCCCTGCAGAAGGCCAGGGCTGTACCGCCTACGACATAGCTGTCAACAGCGACTTCTACCGGAGGATGCAGGTTGGGGGCGTGGCCGCGGGTGAGGCAGGGGCTGGGGCCTCTCTTCCTTTATTCCTGGAGCCCTCCCGCATCCCTGCTCGCACTCTCTCTCTCCTAGAACAGCGAATTCCTGCGAGAACTCTTGATCACCATCGCCAGGGAGGGCCTGGAGGACAAATACAGCTTGCAACTGGATCCAGGTGAGGGGCGGGGCCTAGCCTGAGGCAGTTTGGGGGCCGCCCTTGGTAGATGTGGGGGTAGTGTGGGCTATTTTCTTAGCCTCTAGGCTGCAGATGGCAGGGAGAGGGATCCCCAAGGTAAGCTGAGAAGGAGGGTAGTGGGGTGGGTGAGTGGGCGGGTCCAGGCCCAGGGATTCCAGCTGAGACTCGGGGTCTGGGGTCTGACTGCGTGGGATTAGCGGAGTCTCCCGGGGATCAGATTTCATTGGGGAATACCCCTAGAAAGGGCCTGGGGTTAAGGTGGGCGGGCTTCCCAAAGCCAAGCAGTGGGTGTGGTCAGACCCCTTGCCACCTCCACCGGTCCTGGGAAACTCTTGCTGTGCAAGGTCCCGGCACCCCCCCCCCCCCGCCCCCAGCAAAGGGAACCCTGACCCAGGTGACCTTCGACCATGCCCTCCCTCCCCACAGAGTGGCGCTTGTTGAAGAACCGGGCTTTCTTGGGCTCCATCTCCCAGCAAAACATACGCTCCCAGCAACGGCCTCGGATCCAGGAGCTGGGGAACCTGTACACCGCCGATTCCTTGAGACCTAAGGAAGGGTGGGCTTTGCATGCTCTTTGCAATCCCTCTTTCCCGACATGGAGCCGTGTCCCGGGGCTCTGGGAACCCCCAGAGGGGAGAAACTGGACTCCCAATGGGAAGCAGGGCTGGGAGACCAGACCGGAAAGGGACCACGAGCCAGGCAGGGAGAACAGCCCAGGAAAGACCTGGAGGCTCGCCTCACTTCTGCCTCCTGTTCTCCCCGCCCCCAAACCCCCAGCCCTGAGAGGCCTCACCTGAACCTTTGGCTGGAAGCCCCTGACCTCCTCTTGGCGGAAATCGACCTCCCCAAACTGGTGAGTGCATGCCCCACCACAGCTGGAGAATGAGCTTGTGGTGCTCCCGGGAAGGGGTGCAGGCCTGCTGCCAGGCCTGCTTGAGCCCGGTTAGTGCCGCCCTCTGAGTGTGGCTGCCTCTTGATGCCCCGGGCCCACAGGCCCACTTCCAGTGCTGTCCGGAAGACGCCCAGGGCTGTAAGTGATCACAGGTGGAGAACTGTGATCAGCATACCCTCCTTTTCTCCAGAATGCTGGACCCTTTAACTGTGGTATCCCAGCTGTTGCGTCCTCTCTCCCCGGTGCATGTTGTCGTCATCCTGCCTCCTGTGGCGGAGGAGGGAAGGGCAAGCTGATTCCACTGTATCCCCAGGATGGAGCCCTAGGGCTGTCGCTGGAGATCGGGGAGAACCGCCTGGTGATGGGGGACCCCCAGCAGCTGTACCATCTGGATGCCTACATCCCCCTGCGGATCAGCTCTGATGAGAGCAAGGCGGCCTTCCATCGGAAGAGAAGGGTACCTGGATGGGGTGGATGATGGTGCAGAGAAGCAGTCATATTGGGGGGCCTGGACTTCTGGGTCTGATGGTCTGGTGGGGAAGGGGCCAGGGGCGGGGCACTGGGCTCCTGAATCCTCCCTTGCCCTTTCCTCTCCTCAGCAACTGATGGTGGCAATGCCTCTTCTCTCCGTGCCTTCTTGACCTGCTATCTCCCTGTGTTTCCAAGAGGAGAGAAGATGGTGGAAGCTTCTCTAAAATGGAAATAAAAGATTTTTGGCTCTGGCTGCTGTGGCTCAGTGGATTGAGTGCCGGCCTGTGAACTGAAAGGTCATGGGTTCGATTCCCCATCAGGGCACAAGCCTAGGTTGCAGGCCACGTCCTCAGGAGGGAGCGCTCAAGAAGCGACCACACGTTGATGTTTTTCTCTCTCTCCTTTTCCCTTTGTCTAAAAATAAATCAATAAACTCTTAAAAAATGTTTGCCTTTGTTCTTTGTCTGGCTAGGAATACATGGGAAGTGGGAGGAAGGAGGGACATTGGACTGTAGTCTTGGTGTCCCGAAGGGGTCACGGCCACCACTCAGACCTCGTTGTCTCCCCTGATGCCTGGCCTCCAGTCTCCCGCACGGCCCCAGTGCTGACTCTGCTCCTCTCCTGTTTGCAGTCCCTCCTTGGCTCCCACTGCCCCAAGGGGCAGGTCCGAGCCCCTCAGCCTGGCACTCCAGGCTCCATGGGGCTGACCTCCGTGCCTTGGTTTGGCCTCTTCTCCCCCCCCCCCCACTGTCTTCTTGCAGTGAGTAGTGTCCTGACTGCCCCATTTTCTGCACCTTCTTAGTTTCTGCTGTTCCTTCTACCTGGCACCTCCACGCCATTGCACCTGGGAACTTTCTGATTGTCTCACCCTCACAGAGGACATCTCCGGAGCCCTCTGGGGACCCGACCCACACCACCACACCATCATCTCTGGCCTGTCCTACCCTTTGTCCTGACGAGCTGCCTGTTGCTGGAATTGTGCTTCATGTCACAGTCACTGCTTCCCACTTCCTGATCCTGGGAGTACAGCTTCCCCTGAGGTGGCAGCTACTCTCCTCACCACCTTCCTTACCTGCTTCATTCAGTCATCCCTTTTTGAACTTGCCTCAGTTGGTTGCTGCTCTTACACACCACCAACAGTGGCCCAAACCCACAACCCATGCATGTGCCCTGACTGGGAATCGAACCAGCAACCTTTCACTCTGTGGGAAGACACCCAACCAACCTAGCCACATGGCTCAGGGCTCCTTGGGAAGCTTTTCAACTTTCAAGTGTTCTCTGATTTACCCTGGCCACGTTAGAATACTCTTCCGGGAGTCCCCAAATACCCAATGTTACTCTTAAAGTTATGTCCCCTATGGTGTGACACCTAGTCGGAACTCAAATATTTGTTAAATTAATGATTGCTAACATCCTCTGCTTTTCCCATAGTTTTAGGTGCATAAGTAAATGGAGGAAACTCAGTGGTAAATTGGAAGAGCAGCAAGGAGGCCAGTATGACTGGAAAGGAGTTGAATTGGGTTGGCAGAGAGGGACTAGACCAGTCACTAGACGATAAAATGGGAAAAAGAGGGGGATGACTATGGGTAAGGTCTGTAGACATCTGAAGAAGCGAACGTGAGCACCGTGTCCACCAGAGGGCGCGACGCAGTCTCCGCACAGTGTCTCAGAACTACAACTCCCAGAGACCCATGGAACACTCGGCCTCCCGTTGCGAACAGTGAAGTCGAGCGGCCGCTGGGACTTGTAGTTTTTGTGGGGACCCTTCTTGAGACTAATGACCTCATTCTTAGGTCCGGGAAAGTGTGGGGCTGGGTCCTTTCTGCCTTCCTCGGTCTCCATGGTGATGGTTCCGGCGAAGGCACGAGATTTGGCAGCGGCCGGGCCCTCTTCCCACTCCCTCCTCTTCACCATCTGCTCCACCTTCACACCTGGCCCGGAGCCGCGGCCGCCGCCTCCACATCCAAGCGGAGGATTCCTCAGCCACAGGGTGGCGCGTGTGGACGGCTCTGCAGGATGCTCCCGGCTCAGACGCGGGAGTCCGAGCCCCAGCTGCCTCGTCCGTCAGATGCATGAGTCCAACCTCCAACACCGGCCCCCTCCCAGGGGTTTCTCAAACTCGGGCAAAATTGTGAGACCCAGAGACCCATCGAGAGGCTGCAGCGGGGACAGCGGCAGCCAGACTACTTGGTCCGTGGCGCCCGTCCGCCTCGCCGGCTGCTGCCCCTGCCCCCTCGCGGGCCTGTGCCACATCATGAAATTTTAATCCCAAATGCATTTGCGGCCCGACGCAGAGAGGCGGTTGGTTCAAGGAGCACCCTCTTGGGGCCTGGATCTGGATGGAGGTGGACTCAGCGTCTAGGAGAGGGGCTGGTCAGGAGGAAGAAGCCGGGCAGACAGAGGAAAAGTCCGGGTTCAACCCTAGGGGGCGGGGCTGGGATTCAGGGGCGGAGTAAAAATTGAGGGGCGGGGACAGGTCCCCGCGAGAAGGGACAGATCTCAGTGGGTGGGAGTAGAACAAGGGGTAGGAACAACTCGGGGGGTGGACACGGAGCTGGGAAAGTGGACAGATCCCAGGGAGGGGACAAAGCTGTTTGGGTCGAAACTGGCGACGGAGGGGAGCAGTATAACTGTGGGGGATGAAACTCCGTGGGGAAAGAAATTGGGGGTCAAGGAACTTGGGGGGGGGGTTGTGGCCAAAGGAGAAACAAGGGGGATGAAATTTAAAAGGGGGAACAAGTGGATGGAAGTTACAGGGGAAGAACCTGGATGGGGGGAGGGAGAACTAGAGGGGACAGTGAATGAATGGAAATGGGGGGGAGAATTCCTGAATAAGAAGAAAGCCTTCTGAATGAGACAGTTGGAACTGAGGCTGATGACGCGGGATGGGGATGGAACTCGGGGACGGGACGTGGAACTTGAGGGCGCAGAATTTAGGAGCGACAAGACGGAGAGGATGAAACGCAGAAGGAGACTCAGAACAAGATGGAAATGCGGGAAATACATGAAGGGAACTGAAGTGGGGTGACAAATCTCAGATTTGGAAGAGAAAATCTGGAATAGAAGGAGCTGGGGGGAACAGAAGGAAGGAGACTGACTCCGGGGAACGGACAGAGTCGAGGCGCTGCGCCTCAGGAGTAGATGCAGAGCTCAGAGGTGTGGTCTGGAGAGGAAAGGATGGGGGACAGATCGCGAGGCGAGGAGTGCCCAAGCAGAGCCAGACTATACTGCCAGGGGCGGGGTCTGGTGGGGTGGGCGGGGCCTCTCCCCGCCCCGCCCCCGACGCTGAGTTCAGTGACAGCCCCCAGGCAGCCCTCACTCGCAGCCTCCTTCCCCCCGAGCGGAGCTGCGGGGCCGGCCGGGCCGGGGCGGACCCCGGGAACCCGGACGCGGCCGCCCGGGCCCGCGGGCGGGGGGGATCCCCGGGGGGGTACCGGCCTCAAGGGCAGCCACCATGGAGTTCCGCCAGGAGGAGTTTCGGAAGCTAGCGGGTCGCGCCCTCGGGAGGCTGCACCGGTGAGCGCGGTGGGGGTCCCGGGCGGGGAAGAGGGCTAGGGTCCGAGGAGGACGCTCATTCCCACCTGGGCACAGACCGATAGACGCACCGGCGATGATACCAGTGGATGGGGGGGCCGGGGGTCCACCCATCTGCTCAGTTTCTCCCTCCGCCTCCGACGGCGCTGCTCTCCCTGGTTCGATCTTGCTCATCATCTGGTTTATTTTTCTTCCTCTAGCCCCACTCCAGGTTCTCCCCTTTTCTCTGGGCCTGTAGGTTCCTCTCTCTCCGGGTGCTGAAGCCTGTCCCACTTCTGGGACTCTGTTCACCTGTCTTCTCCCTGCGTCCTTTCTCCGGGCCTCCGCGCCCCTTTCTCTAGGTCTCTATTCCCCTTTACCTCCGAGCCTCTGCCCTCTCCCGGATTCTCCGGCCTTTGCTCTCATTGGATCTCGATCAACGCCTCTCTCGGGGTCTCTGGCCCCCTCTCTGGGGTCCTGGACTCTCCCCTTTTGGGTCTCTGTCCTCTCTCTTTGGGTGTTTATTCCTCCAGCCTGGGTCTCCCCATCCCTGTCTTTCTCGGTCTCCGTTAGCCAGGGCGTTTAATCTGACGCTAAAGCGGATTGGGGCCCATGGGTTCTTGTCCTTGAGGAGAGTTAAGCTGGGAGGAAGAAATTAGGGGGTCCTGGGTCTCTGGGGGAGAAGGGAGTTGCAGGCCCAAAATTAGGCCTCCCAGAGTTTGTAAGCTAGAGCTAAGAGGGACTTCCAGGGAGATGACCCCAGTGACCCGGGTGTCCTCAGGGCAGTCCGGGACACCTCCCTCCGGTCTTTCACCCCCAACCCCAGCCTTGGCTGCAAGTCAGAGAAATTACTCATCTTCGGAGAGACCTAAAAATATCTGGCCACAGCACCGGGAGGGCACAACCTGGATTGGTCCCTGCGGCCATTCTTTCAGACCCTGTACCCCAGGGCCCACAGCCCTGGCCCCAACTTTGGTTGACCCTTCGTCCATCTCGCCAAGCCATGCAAGTCCCTCTCTAAGTCTAACGCTAGTCCCGCTTGCTGCAGATCACCTCTTGGCCCCAATGTTACCCCACCCTCTAGTAACAGGAGAGATGGCAATAAGGCCGGACAGAAGAGAGGGGGCAGGAGGATGGCACGGCAACGGGGAGGTGGTGGGGAAGCTGAGATAACCTCGTCCCTGCTTCTCCCAATCTCCCAGCCCCTCCCCACCCTTTTTCTCGCCTCCTTTCACGAGTTTCTCAAAATACACCAGTGAGAAGTCAGGAGACAGAGAGAGACGTGATAATGCGGGAGGCTGGGGCGGGGGGCCGTGCGGGAGGTGTGTGTTCCTTAGGGCCCCTCCCTCAGTGTCTGCTTCTCAGCTTTGCATCTGTGTCTGGGTTTCTCTTAGTCTGTCTGTGCCCTACTGTCACCTCTCCGGGCTGCCTTCTGGGCCCCTAGAGACTGCAGAGCTCAGAGCACCCCCCCACCCAGGACAGTCACCAAGGAGGCTGAGTGGAGAAGAGCATTGTGCCCGGATCCTGGGGGTCACAGTGATGGGTGGGGACACGTGGAGATGCTCTGTGTTGGACACAACACCCCAATTCCATTGAACCCTTTAGACCTCACTGGGGAAACTGAGGCAGGTGTTGAGAAGAGGGAGAAATGGGTGGATGAGCCCAAGTGCCATCATTCAAGCCTCGGGCAGCCTGTCCCCAACCTGGGGCGGAGGCTGCAGATTTTCCTCGAGATGAGTGATGCTTGAGTGGGTGGAGAACTCCCTCAGATCGGGAAACAGACAGTAAACTAGGCGACTTGGGACAAGGATGTGGGGGAAGGGAGATGGAGGACCCAAAGTGCCTCGTCTCGCAGGGCTGGGCCTTGGGCAGGGCGAGGCTGGCCCCAGGAGGTGGCCAGGCCCCATCACTCTTCTTGGTGGGTGACCTTG